TAATTTTTCTGGCTAACGTCTGTAATCCCTTGCCGATTCCTCTATTCTTTCTCATCTGCCCTCTCCTCAAGTTTCCCGAAGCTTGTGTGATCATCCTTGGTCTTCCAGCCTGGCTTCTACTTTCTTTTCAGTTGTCCTTCCTGATCAGAGGATAAAACCACTCTACCAAGGGGAAACACTTTGCATATAAGCTCCCAATGGCTGATCAATTCTGTTAAATAAATGCAGATTTTGCTTCTATGGTTTAAGGTATAAAATTAATAGTTACCACAGTTTCTCAGTTTCTAAACCATGCTTGATGCTATTGTTATTGCTAATCACACTATTTTAGCTAGGGTGTCACATCTGATTTAACAGCTGTTCTCACTTTTGGAACAATACTGGGAAACTCTGGAGTAATAACCCCATCACACTTCAGCATCAGAGGACTAGGGACTGAACCAAACACATACCACCATCTCACTCTTAACTGGGAAGCTAGGATCTTGGGACAGACACAAACCAAGAGCCTCCTACGCACAGAAAACATCCCTGAAGAATACTTTCCCTAGAGAAGCCTTGATAGGAGTGATAAAGCTACTTACTGCAAAAACAAGGATAAACACACAAAACAAAATAAAAACCACTGATATAGAAAATGATGAGACGCAGAAGCAAAATGCAACCTCAGAATTGCAGCCCATCCAGAACAAGTCCAGGAGATAATCAGAGAGTGGAAATGGAAGACACCCACAGCTGGAATTTCTGCAGTGATACCAACCGAAGTAAGACAAATCCAGGGGCTGTAGAGGACATCAGATCAGAAATGATCTCGGAGGTTTAAAAAAAGAGAGACATGACAGCAATGATAAAGGAATTGCTCAGCAAATCTAGAGTAGAAGTAGATAAAAAAAAAATAACCAATGGAAAATGATGAAAACCATGAATGACTGATACAAGAAAGAAACAATGCATGAAACTGATTCAAACAGAAATGCAGCAAATTGAAAATTCCACTGAAAGCTTACAAAACTGCTTGAACAAAACCAAAGAGACTTTTAGACCCTGAAGACAGGATTATGGGTAGTGATCATGAAAGAAAAGCTCTCAAAAATAACGGGGGATCAGAAAATCACAATTCAACAGCTGCAAGGTGATGCAAAGAAAAATAATATAAAGCTGATTCGTGTCAACAAACAGCAGGAGTCAACAAAAGGAAAGCCCATCAGAATCACAGCAAACTTCTCAACACAAATTCTCATTCAAGAGCTTGGAGTGAATAAAGGTATTTCAAGTCCTGAAAGAAAACAACTTCTAACCCAGACTGATATACCCTGCAAAACTATCTTTCAAAATTAATGGAAAAATAAGATACTTCCATGACAAAGAACAACTGAAAAAAGTTCATGACCACCAAAGCAACACTACAAAGGGTAATGAAAGATATTCTAGACAGAAATAAAAATGACAATTCCAAGATCAACAAAACAAAACAATGTCTGCTGTCACCTCTTCTATTTAATATAGTCCTGAATATTAGCCAGAACAATTAGACAAGGGAGAGAAATAAGGAAAGGAAGAAGTTAAATTATCATTATTTTCAAAAGACATGACTCTACATAGAAGACTCCAAAAACTCTACTGAAACACTTCTAGATTAAATAACCAAATTGGGTTGTGTAGCTGGATACAAAAATCAGTAGCGTTCCTGTATACCAACAAAAAACACAGACATTAGGGAAACCACACCTTTCATAATAGCATCCCCAAAAATGAAACACTTAGGAATCAATCTAACAAAATAAAAGACCTCTACATTGAAAAATACAGAACTCTGAAAAAGGAAACTGAAGAAGATATCAGAAAATGGGAAGATACTCCTTGCTCTTAGATAAGGAGAACCAATATAGTGAAAATGGCCATATTCCCAAAATTATTGTACAGATTTAATGCAATCCAAATGAAAATACCACTAGCATACTTCACAGAACTAGAGAAAACATTCCTAAAATTCATTTGGAAACTGCAAAGACCTAGAATAGCAAAAGCAGTCCTGGGCAACAATGGCAAGGCGGGGGCATCTCAATCCCTGACTTGAACTTATACTACAGAGCTACTGTGATAAAATCAGCATGGTACTAGCAAAACAACAGACTTGTGAGGGTCAGTGGAACAGACAGAAGATGCAGATACAACCACAAACACACTCAGCCACCTTATCTTTGACAAAGGCGCCAAACATGTTCACTGGAAGAAAGACAGCTTCTTTAATGGTGCTGGAAAACCTGGCTGTCTACATGCCAAAGACTAAAACTAGTCTGTGTCTATCACCATGCACTAAATTAAAGTCAAAATGGATAAATATCTAAACATTAAAACTAAACTTACTCAGGTCTGGAGATTTAGTTCGGTGGTATAAGCGCCTGCCTACAAGGTACAAGGTTTTGAGTTCAATCCCTGGTACAAAAGGGGGATCCTCACCTCTCTAGAGGTACAGAGAGTTCCTTCAGCTCTCTGTACCTCTTGAGAGTGATTAATAAAATACATTTACTTCAATCCTAAAATTTCAAATATGGAAGTCCAGAAAAAAAGCAAAACAAAAATAGAAAAACTAAACTTACTGGAAACCCTAAATCTACTGGAAAAGAAAATATGTAGAAGTCTTGAAGGTATAGGTATAGGCAAAGAGTTCATAAACAAAACCTAGATTGCACAGGAAATACTTCAAAGAATCAACAACTGGGATCTCGTCATATTAAAAAGCTTTTTTGCACATCAAAAGAAATCACTAACAGAGTGAAAAGACGACCCACAGGGTAGGAAAACAATTTTAGCCATTTATCCCTTAGACAAATGACTTCTATCTAGAACATACAAAGAATTGGAAAAAAAAAAATCAGAGCCCACAAATTCAAAGACCCAATTAAAAAATGGACATCTGAGATGAATGTACACTTCTCAGATGAAGAAATACAAATAGCAAGTAAATATATGAAAAAATGGCCAACATCACAACTTATTCCAGAGATGCAAATTAACACACAGAATTCATCTCACCCCATAAAAATGGCTACCATCAAGAAATCAACCAATACCAAATGCTGAATGGGCTGTGGGGAAAAAGGAACCCTTCCCACTGTGGTGAGAGTGCAGTATGGAAATCAGTATGGTGATTCTTCAAAAAACTAGGACTAGAGGTCCCATTTGACACAGCTACTCCTCAGTGCTCTTCTAGGTAACTTCCCAAAAGAATTAAAAACATACTACAGTGACATATATGCACGCATGTTTATAGGAGCACATTTTGAAATAGCTAAATCTTGGAAACAACCCAAATGCCCATCAACCAAGAAATGGATAAAAAAAATGTGGAATTTTTTCTGCCATAAAGAACAACAATCTGGAAACATAGGTAGATGGATGCAACTCGAGACCATTCTCATAAATGAAATAAACCAGACTCACAGATGTAAACATCATATTGTCTCTTTGGGGCGAGAAACTGAAAGAGTAAATAAGGTCCAAAATGTACAATAGGTGTTGTGAAATGGCAAGAAATTGGGAAAGGGGAAATAATAGAAGGGAAAAAACACTCAATTCAGTTACCCTATTGGTGTCTCTTAGTTCACTGAAAAGGGAAGTTTTGTGCTAATATCAATTGGGGAAATGTTAATGTCCGTATTTTATACTCCGAATAAGTACTTAAAGATTACAGTATGTGATGTATTAACTATTGTTATTGTATCACTGTTATGAAATTTTCATTTACCTTTTACACACACACACACAACCAAGCTCCTCGTGTGACCGCAGCTGCCTCTTCATCCTTGTGAGCACAGCCTGCTCTGCACTTCTGTTCTGGAATCTTCCTGAGAGAGCAGCACATACACCAGCGTGCACGCGGACCCCAAGCTGCCTGGCTGCCTGTGCACCCCCTCCCCCCATCTCCACATGGACCCGAGAGGTCTGGAGGCTGCCAGGTGCCTGCTCACCATCTGCATGTGAGCCAGCATCTGCAGGCTGTGAAGGACATGAAACAGGAAGTTCTGCCGAGTTCCTCGCTTCCACTCGAGGCTCCTATGGTGTGGGCTCAATGGCAGCAACTGTCATGTGAACTGTGGTCTGGGCCCCGAAGTCTGACTCGGGGGAGTAGGTACAGGCTCTGTGAAATGGACGAGGGTCTCCTAAGCAGGACTGTGGCCCTGGGCAGGGACCTGTGATGCCACATGTGGTAACACAAGAGTCGCACATTTGTTCTGCTCAGCCGCCCGCCCCAAGCCTCTGCTTCAGCCACCTTTAGGCCAAAATTAGCACAACTGGTATCACAGATCCTGAGCCCTCCCAATAAACATATTAAGATAATTTTTGACTCATCAAATGTAAAGCTTCTACCTGCTGAGTACAGCTGAAAGGCTGTTTGAATTTCCTCCATAAGCTGCCCATGGGGCTTTTGTTCTTACATGAGTGCCTATTTTCGAGTGCATGACATTAACCTGCTCAGGCTCCTTGCCAAGGGGCAGGCAGAAGATGCCCTCTCTCTCATGCTGACCTGGCCAGCCACAGCCACTACACACAAGCTCAAAATACGTCCACAACCAGCGGCATACTGGTCACCACAAACACCTTGTGTCACGCAGCCAGCCCTGTCCACAGCACTGCTCGGACTCACTCATGCGGTTCGAGCTGTTCATCACAGGCCACTTCTCAGACATGAGTGTCTGGCGGGACTGAACAGAACAGAGCTCCAAATCCCATACAGAACAGGCCCTGTCTGCTTGGCCAGTAGACAGGTGAAAACCTTCGTGCCAGGGCTTTGGTGAAGGGAGAGGCCCCCGGACAGTGTTGGCCCTAAGGCTTCGGCAGGTGCCATTGCGAGATCTGAGAAGGCCCCGTACAAGGCCACCTGGCACGGCTCAGCCCTTCTGGGTCAGAGCCCATTGTCTTCAGGGCTCAAGGCAGGATGTGAGAGGAACCACTAGGATTGAGATCACTGACAAGGCTGAAAGCACCTGAGACTGAAATGAAATTAAATAATCACTCTTTATTCAAAATAAATAGGCCCTCTTTCTTACTGGGAAAATAGGAAAGTAAGCTCTGCCCCTCGGACTCTATAACAGAAATCACATTTAGAGTATGTTCATTTAAAAAAGTAAGATTTGTAGATTAAACTGAAATCTAGCAACTTCAATATATACTGTTTCTTAGGAAAAAAAGACAGAGGAATAATTGATGTCACGAAGTCTCAGATTAGAAAACCCTTTTCCTTCTGAGGCTTATTTTGGCAAACCCCCCTCAAGTCCCCTGAGAGCTCTGTCCCAGGACAAAGAGCCCATCCCACTGCCCTCGAGGTCACTGATGACTCCTCCCATCCTGCACCACAGCCCTTCAGGCAGGAAGCCCTGCCCACCTCCACCTCGGGATGGGACTGGGCCCAGGCCCCCCAGTGCCTGGGGAGGGGAGGGGCGGGCTCCTCCCAGCCCAGTGCTCAAGGGGGACTGCATTTCCAGTGCTCTCCAGGTCACCTCTCCCAGAAGGCGGAATCCCAACTCCCAATGCCTTACAACCACTGCGTCTTGTGCCTTTTGTGCCAGTTAATTTCCAGATTCAACAGCCATACAAAATATGGTAGGTTGGTGAAACACTGACGAAGAATCCCCAGTCTCTTCAGGCCTCCCCGCTCCTTACCCACCACACACAGACACGCAGGAAAGAGCACTGTCCTTATAAATTCAAGGTGCTCATCTGCAAGGCGGAGGCCTCCAGGGATTCCTCCAGCTCCAGGCTGCAGCGACTGTATGCTTCCAGGTGTTTTCTCCAGACTTGAACTAGAAAAAGAAACAGCAGTGAGGAGTAGACAAGCCAAAACCCCTCTTCCCAGGAGGCCAGCAGGGAGTGAAACACTCCCCTGCTCCAGGGTGCCCTGGCAGGCTCTGTCCCCTTGATGGATGAGCAACTTCCATCACACCCCAAGAACACCCCTCCAGACTCCGCTCCACCTCCCAAGACAGTCCTCTGGGTGACACATGGGTGACATTTGTCAGGCCCTCATGATTCCCAAGTCTTGACAGGCTGTGGCCTGGACTTCCCGCCGTACTGCAGCAGGTCTGGCACCATGGATGCAGGGTGCTCTCCTGAGGACCCTGCATAAGCCGCCGCCCCTCGCCCTATCCACTCACTGTAGTGCGGCTCTTCTGCAGAGGGGTCTGGGGCTGTGTCCTCGAGGGAGCTGCTGGGGCCCTCAGAGGGAGGGTCGGGAGGCATCTGAGGCCTGGGCTCCCCTGCCAGCTCCTGCCGCACGTTCTCCAGCATGGTCTTGTATGCCTGCCGGGCCGCCATGGTCAGCTCGACCATCTTGTGGAACTGGTCCTTGGACACAAGTGAGAGCACACGTGTCATGTCCTGGTAGGACCCTTGGTCCCTGCACACTTAGCAATCACCATTACAGAGAAACAGGCAACAGCCCCTAAAGCCACCTAGAGCCACCCAGAACTTCCAGGCTGTCACCTGGATGGAGCCAACGGTAGCAGTCAGCCAGAGCCAGACTCAGGGCCCAGCCTGGGGCTTGGGGGTGGCGTCCTTCCTGCAGCCTGGCAGGGAACTAGGTTATCCCACAGCAGGACTGAGACCGCGTTCTCTAGCCCCCTCCTGGTTCAGGCCCTACCTCACCTGTGCCCCATCGTAGCTGAAGATGCCCACGACGCTGACAGGAACTGTTTTGTTCAAACTGCGCCCCAGAGCCTTGCGATTGAGTGCAAACACAAAGGGGATGTTCTGTGCACAGGCATAATCGATGATGGTGTGCAGAGTGTCATCCAGCCCACCTGGTCAGAGGATAAGAACACACCATGGAGGCTGCGACTGAGCCCGGCTGCCCGGACAGCACCCCTGGCCTATAGCTCTGCAGCCTCTGCTGAACTCCCCCAGAGAGCAGGCGCTAGCCAGCCTTGTGGGAGAACCGTTCTCCAATAAGCCCTTCCAAAGCACGAGTAAGACCCTGGTGCAGCTAAACGCTAATGGCCAAGTTAAGCCCAGGCAAGAATCACACAACACAGCCCCGCCGCTTCCCTCATTTGGCTCTGCACCCAGCCCAAACCCTCAGAGGCAAGTCCTGAGCCCCCACTTACACACAAGACCAAGGGCCCAGAGAGCAGGCTTCCTTCGCCCTCCATGGCCCCTCTGGTGGGGCCCTGGCTTCCAGGGGGCTCGATGCCTCCTCCAGCCTGGGGGGGGGGGGAACACTCCCCCCCCCCCCCAACAGGAAGCATTCCACAGCAGAAGGTGAGGGCTCGGCTCAGACACAGAGCTTCCTGTGCTCCCGGCAGACAGGCCCCTCACTGACTGCTCCACTTACAGCCGTACCCAAAGGCTGCCTCGGCGCAGACTGTTTATTCACCAACAGAAAGGATTCACAGCACAACTTCCATGGTGCATTAACACCAGAGTGTCTGTGCAAAACAGCACTCATGCTCCCGGACAGGACAAACTAAAATGATAAAATGTCAACTCTGCATTAATGCTAACCTTTCAAATTTAAGCTTACTAGAAAGCAGGACTTCTTGAAATGAAGAATAAGGCAAACCTGACGCTAGCACTCTATATTCCAAGCTTGTTACAAAGCTCAAGGCTACTACAAGGAGATTCAGCCCACAGACAGAGTCTGGGAGTGACCAGGGTGTGTGACAGGTGAGCCTGTGAGGAAGACACTAGCACTCACTGAGGAAGGGCGAGGGCAGCAGGGCAGGCTCTGCAAAGGTCCGGCTAGACTTATGCTCTACATCTTACACTGAAATGTGGCATACCTAACATAAAAACATGGAACACCAGGGGAGAAACAATTTTAAAAACTCCTTAATAGCCTTGTAGAAAAAGGTTAAGAAATGAACTAAAACCTAAATGAAGAAAAAAAAGAATGAAAAATATCAATATTTACAATATTCTAATAAAATGTCAGCTCCCCAAAAGACAAATGGGCAAAGTACACAAACTAATAGAAAATAACAGGTTAGAAAGTGAAAAGATGCTGAACACATCTCCTACGAAAAATGCAAATCAACTCTCCAAGAGGGTGATGCGACTGTGTGGTGGAAACCAGGCTATCGTGGGAGGCAATGGGGCAGGGACTTCGGCCACTGATGCCCATCCTGCCAAGGCCAGGGCTGGGACCTGCAAGACGCGTGCCTCTCCCAAAACAACTGTAAGGAAGACAAATGTTTGCTTCAGTTATTCACGACTGGCAAACTTGTCAATGGCAGTTGTGCCCTACAACATGGGACGTGGACACTGTGTGGTTAGACTGGAGATGAACTCTGAAGCCCGCAGTTCTTAATTCTGCATACTCTGCACTATGAAAGCCAGGGATGAGGAAGCCCTTCCTGGGCCGTCAACTGGAGGAAGCGTACTAGTTTTGCACAAGCTGGCAAAGGGCAGCCTGGGCAGAGGTGGGGATGGGATACCACTATGAGACCTCACAAGTGACAGGTTAAGTTCGCTAGTGCCTGCTATGTGTCTCCTACTGGAGGTGCCCCTCTGCCAGTGTCTGCCTGGGCTCTAATGCAGTGAAGAAGAACTCCATCCAGTAGGCCCATCTGATGCTCTACAGCACTTGGCCATCCTGACATTCTAGTAGGCCCATTTGTACCCTCTGAAGGCGGGCCACGGAGCTGGGTTTGGTGCTAACACAGGCGCCCTGTGCCTCTCGGAGTGCAGGGCATGTGGTTATGCCACTACCAGCTCTTCCCATCTGCGGTGTGAGCTCTGGAATGCCGGCGGAGGACGTGGGTGTGCCAGGTCGCCCAGCTCTGCTCCATGGGTCTTCCTTTCCCTTTGCTGCTCTCCATAGCCCTTCACCCTGCTAACTGTCGGTGACGAGCTTGGGGCCAGGGTCTTTCTGGACTCACTGAGCATGGGGAACCTGCAGATCTCAACACGAGCAGCAAAGTCAAGGCTGCTTTGCTCAAATGGCCTGGAAGTTAAAGTCACTAATAAGAGAGGAAAGCATGCTCACTCCAAGGCTGACCTCTTAAGGTGTCACGGGGAGCGTCAGATAAGCAAGGAAAATTCTGAGCCCTGATAAACAATCCTACATGTTTACGTTTGGAATTCTTTTTTTTTTTTACTTTTTCCTTTTTATTGGTACCAGGGATTGAACTCATGACTGCCTACTTGCAAGGCAGGCACTTATGCCGCTGAGCTAAATCCCCAGCCCCGCGTTTGGAATTCTTAAGTGAAATGCCATTCTGGGCGGATGCAGTTCACCTTAACATGGCTCAAGGCCATATTAACTTTGTAAAATGACCAGCCGCTGGCTATCTTAGCCAACAACCACTTGTTAAAGATACATACCCAAATCCCTTATGCCTCAAAGCAGAAAAGGTAGGAACTGATGCGTGAACAACTACACTTTAACTCCGTAACAAATCCTCAAGCTGCCAATCGAGAACTCCAGCCTCCACCAGAGGAGGGTGAGATACATGCGGGGGATAGTGAACTACCAGGCCAAGGACAGCACGTCCACCTTCTTACTGTACAGACAGGAATCAGGTCAGAGTCTGAGAAGCGGAAATCACATGGGCAACGGAGCCAGCCTGGAGACCTAAGCCACAGTGGGGACAGGCTAGGCTGGCTGGACCTGGATACTAGATGCCCCTAAGCTCAGGCATGGGCAGCACAGGGGGGAGTGTGGCGCAGGCTCCACAATGGCACTGAGGAGACATCAGGCCTCCTGCCACAGCCCTCAGGTGGCCCCACACCACACCTCTGATTGCAGTGGTGAAGACAGGCCACACACTGGAAGCCAGGGGCCCCAGCCCACCTTCCCAGGGGCATGTGACCAGCTCTGGCGGGGTAGGGGTACACGCTACCCCCAGGTACATCCATCCAGGCAGCAGCTCAAACACCTTGCCCGCAACTGAGCTTTTTCCAGTGGGCTTCTTAAGGCAGCACCATTGGGAGCTCAGCACAAACTCCCGGGCCCACTGGACCTGCTCTCTGCCCCCTGCCCCTTTCCCTGTGCTGTTTTTAGCCTGCAGTCTGCTGCCCACCGGCACTTCTATGCAACTTTGGCCCTCCTAGGTCTGAGTGCCACAGTGTCACATGCTGGGATTTGTGGTAATGAGCAGGAGACCAAGGCCCACAGAATGGCACATGCTTTAACCAACAAGTACAGAGACCAAGAACTCCAGAGACAGCACACTCCAGTAGAACAGAGCAGAAACAAAGGCCCACAGGATGACCAGCTGCACAAGAGGCGCAGGAAACCAGAACAAGTGCCTCATGTCCAGCTATTTGAAAGCTCTGAGGCAGCTGGCTGAGGCCACAGGTAGGGTTAATGTTACATGTATACAAAAGTTAAATATCTAACATCCTAGAAGGCTTAGACAGGAGGATTACCAGTTCAAGCCAGCCAGGAAAGCATGGCAAGAGCTTGTCCCAAAAATGAAATACAAAAATGGGGCTGGGTATGCAGCTCAGTTCAATCCCCAGTATTGAGGCAAAGAACTAGAATCCCAGCATTAGGAAGCTGGGGGATAATTCCATTGGGAAGTCATCAAATGAGTAAAGTGGAAAGGATCAAGCAGCAGCCTGCAAGCCACACACTGGAGACCACAGGAAGAAACACCTCAGAACTAGCAGGGGCTGAGTGGGGAGGCAGGCCCATGGGAAGACATGAATGCGCAGCTGTCTTCTCCCTATACAGACACCTGGTGATAACATCACCCTTTCGGCTATGCAGCTTCGCTGTGTTAAGAGAGCAGGAAAACAAGCATCCTATTCTTTCTGGTGACCTGGAATGGCTTCTGGGAACCGCCACACACACAGCCGGGGGACAGGTCACTGAAATCCCATCGTGTACAGGTCAGCAGGACCGCTGTCCTGGCACCACGCAAGCACAGGATAAGCCGGCTTGTGGAGTCCCTAAGGCTGCTGGGCCACTGGGGCCCTTGGATGGGTACACGCTGCCCAGCCTGGACTTGGGAGCGCCAACCGTCAGATCATAACTCAGCTCAGCCCCGAGACTGCGACTTGCTCCGTCATGGTGGAGCTCTGGCTGAGCTGAGGCTCACATGGCAGGGGGAAGAGAGGGGCTGAGGAATGCTGGCAAATTCACAGATGCTCCCTCCTGCTCCCGATGCTCACAAGGTGAGCAGGGGGCATGCGAGCAAGGCTGCTCTGCTCCTGACCATGTCCACTGCACAAGGCTGGGATGTCACCCAGGGCCGGCACATGCTAGGCAGGAGACCACCACCGAGCTGTACTGCTGGACCAAGGAGGATATAACACAGATGGCCATAACGCCTGACAGCCAAGCACAAGGTAAACAGGCAGCATCACCGAGGAGAGGGGTCACTATCACCTTATGTAATACCTACCATCCTATGAAAAGCACCTTCTAGCCCCAGTAAAATGGCAAGGTACTCAGATGGCCATTTACACACTGCACAGTCCCAGGGAGCCTGGCCGGTGAGGCTGCCCTGTGCCTCTCTGTAGCAGGAGTGGCTGGTGACCCTCTACAGCTCCCGCAGGAAACCTGCACAAATGGCCCGTCCTTCCTTCCCTGCTCCAGAGGCAAACAGTCACCCAGTACAAAATGAAATAAAGCAAGTCGCCAAAGCCGGGGCTACGGGCTGGCTGGGATCTGGGCCACCACTGGTCCAGAAGTGCCCCAGCACAAGGGCGGCACCCAATGCCTGCTGCGGGGCTCATGAGCCCCAGGTACCTCCTGCAGTGCATTACCTTTGGACTGAATCTTCTCGCAATTGGGGGAAATGATGATGCACTTCAGCTTCCTGAGTTTCAGGTGTTTGAGAACCTCCCTCAGCCCCAGCACAAGCCGGCGTTTGGTCTTAGCCTTGACTGGATCCTTCTGGTACATTCGGTCCTGGAAGCGAACCAGCTCCTTAAGCAGGTCGGTGACACATGCGTCTACTTCTTTACTGAGCATCTGGCTGCAGTAACTGAAAGGAACATCAGACACTAAGAACTTGGCCCTGGCCCTGCAACCATCTACCCCAGGAAGGAGAGACACAAACAGCATTAGACAGGACTCAGGAGCAGAAACACGCATCAGACCCGTGCAATTACTAACCGATCCCAGGGAAGACAGTGACCGAGGCACCCTTCCCACTCCGCACCCTAATGGGACAGAACCCTCTGGGCCCAGCCTTCTACCATGGTGAGCAAAGCCCCTGTCCTGGCCACTCTCCCACATGTCTTCCCTGTTCCAAAAGCAAATCAACTACCCAGGAAGAGAAGTAGGAAAGGAAGAAAGAGCAGGCAAACAGGGTCAAAAAATCTTGCCCTTAAGAACTTGTATGGAGAAGTGAAATCACGAAAGTCCCAGTAATATCCCTGCCACGTCACCACCATCCACCATCCATCCCCCAACCCTGGATCACGGGCACCTCTTCCATCATCAGGGCAGGAAAGAAACCACAGTGGACTCAGATAGATAGGGCGGTCCAGCCCCCAAACACCCATGCAACTAAATACCCAGTCACATTCAGCCTGGAAGAATGAAGTACAGAATAGTCCCAACTCCCTGGACTCCTGGTGCTATGCACGCAAGAGAAATCAGTGCCAAACCCAACTAAGTGCCCTCCTCTCCTGGGCCCGGCAGGCAGGCCCTCGCTCACTCACTCCCGGAATCTGCGGCTGTGGATCTTGGGGAAGGAGGCTTGCTCGGGCGCTGGCTGGCAGGCCTTGGGATCTTTTTGGAGCTCAGGACCGGGTAGCTCTTCTGACTGTTCCTCAACCGCATGAGTAGAGGAGGCTGGTTCTTCTGCTCCCCCTGAAACTTCAGGGGTGAGAAAATCACTGTGCATGTCCACAGGCCCAAAGTGCCAGGAAGACTGCCACCCGGCGCTGGCCCATGCAGTCCCACTGAAGTGACCAGCTTCCCAAGCTTTCTGTGGAGCAGCAGGGCAGGCAACAACAGCCTCTGAAGCAGTAACAAAGCTGACAGAGCCAGGGCAGCTTTCAGTTATCATTCTAACACTATCAAGGGTGCAGCTCACTGGTCATATTCATCTTTTAATTCTAGAATCTGATCTGAAGACCCTGCTATCAAGATGTTTTAAAAATAGGGGCTATAGTTCCAGAATTTTTAATGCTTAAACACTTGAAGCCATTTCTTTTTGACATAGTTCTTAAGAGCTGACCTCTAACATCTGAGCTTCTGGCTGGGGGTCAGCTCAGTGGTGGGGCACTGGCATGGCATGCCTGTGGGCCTGGGGCTCAGGCCCAGCATCGAGAAGAAACAAAAAATGAAAAACCTGTGAATGCCTAAACAACAGAGGTTCGTGGAACACACGGAGAGGTACAGTTAACAGCCTGCTGTCCCCAAATGGTGATTCCCCAGACCACCAGATCACAGAGACAGAGACGCACAACACACCCCAGACCTGCTGCAGTGAGCTAAGGGACAAGGCCCTGGACAGGACAGAACTCAGGTGTCCCCCTCCCAGGCTAGGTGAAACTGAGGTGATGCTAGGAAACCACGGCAGGAGCTATTAAGGCAATACTGCTCCAGGGAACACATCATGGGCAAACGTGCATGTGTGCACAGCAGCCTTCCTCTAGCAGCTGGAAACTGCAACAGGGGATACTGCCTCCCTGCTCATCGCCTTCCTGGCGTTTGTCCCCACCCCCAAGACTACACAGAGATGATGGGCAGAGAGGACACGCACAGGGCAGGGCTTCTAGGTCATTCCAGGTCCCCATCCAGGTGCGGACTCCCCCATGACAGCTCCACAAGCTCTGCCTTGGGCCCTGGGACGCTCATGAAGCCAGAAACAGATCTAGGAGTTTCCACAGCAGCCTAGCTCAGGCACATGCAGGCATCCTGCTGTCTCCAGGCGGAGGCTCAGATCATCTCAGGCAGGGGAACAAGGTTTGTCTCATTCACCCTGCTCAGACCCAGAACCAGGCCTGGACCCTACTCCTGGCCTTGTGCTCCTCTCTTCAAGCGCCAGGGTCTGAACACCGAACTAAGCTCAGCACAGCCCATGGGCTACCGCAGGGGGCCAAAGCCGCCTCACTCATCCCCGACAAGAGCTGCCACAATACCCATACTCACAGTGGCCCCCACCTCGGGGACTCCACTGAAAGCAGGAACCCCGAGGTACCTGCAGCCTGCTCGGGGTCGGCGGCCTGCTCCTCAGTACCACTCTCCGCATCCTGCACCTCGTCACCGGCCACAGCTGGGCTCACGGTGTTTTCCCGGAGTCTCTGCTGCTTTCTCTCTTCCCGTTCTTTCAAAATAATCTTCAAAATCAAATCAATAATTAAAACACTTAAGTACCAGTATCTAAAAGCTAAGCTCTTCCTCAACTTCAGCTGCCTGATTTGGGCATGCATCGGGACTAGACAGGCACCAGTTCTGGTAACTCCCCTCTCTGCTGGTGTGGGGACAGAGCAGGGGGTGCGAAGCAGGCCATGAGAACCCTGGACTCTCAAGCCAGTTCTAGGCCTCTGAGCAGAGACCGAGGACGTACACACAGGGGCAGGAGAGCCTAGAGTGTGTGTGGACTGCCAGCGGGGGCTGAGGGCACAAAACATGAGAACAAAGACGAACTCTCTTCTTCACTTTTCTGTCCCTGTCACCACAAAGTGGAAAAACAGTTTCCTAGCAGGTGGCTGAAGCAATCCCTGCCTCACACACCCTGCCCCATCTCGGTGGGAAAGCGGGGAACCGTTTGCTAGAAAAGCATCAACACAACTTGATGTGCCCTGAAAATCTGGGAGTCAGAGCGGGAAGAGGTCAGCATGGATGCTTGCAGCCGGTCTCTGACACTGGCTCTGCTGCAGAAACCCTCTACGCACCTTCTTCAGTGAGGTGGGCTTCTTGGCTTTGGGCACCTCCCTCTGCTTGCCCTTTTTTATCAGTGGGGCGCTGGAGTCCAAGGGGTTGTGTGGAGTCTTCACCTGGCTGAAGCGACGGCCCCTCTCTCCCAAGCTGGTGTCTTTGCAAAGCACAGGCACTGCTCCGACTGCAACAGCGTGGGATATATGCGCCATGGTCACTTCCTGGTGGCCCTAGCCAGCCCTAGATCTTGGCTGCCCAGGGTGTCTGCAGGAGTGCCCCCCACGCCTCACCCAACAACCTTCCCACATTCCTCCAATGGGCTCTTACGTGCTATTTTCCCTGGCAGTGATGCTAAACGAAAGGCGCTATCCTTCCTTCCTTCCTTCCTTCCTACAGGGCCTAAGCGTATCTACTAATGGGGAATGCCTTCCATGTGCATACCGAACAGTGGTGAAACGTGCTTGGAGTCAGGACACATCCAGGTAGTATGTCACCCACTGACAGAGGGCCTCGGTCCCTTTGCACTGCACCACCAGGCAGTGTGGGTCTGGAGAAGCCGCAATTGTTTCTTTCATGTCTCACTGGGTCCTCATACAGTATACTGTTTTTTGCTGGTTTGCCTGTTTTCCAGACACACGCCAGTTTTCCCAGCCCTCACTCCGGGCTCCTGGAAGCAACCCTTCCCGCCTCGGGCAACTGTTTCCTCACACTTTTTAACTAGGAAAACTTCCAAACATGTACCCAAGAGAAGAGAAAGCAAACAACAAACGCTCACCAATAGTTCAGTTCAACAATCACTGCTATTTTTCTAAGTGTTTTACCCACCTATAATTGTGAAATTTGAAAATAATAATAATAATAATAATAATAATAATAATGACTAGTGTTTTGCCAAACAGGTATGCCCTTTTTAATCTCTGCTTCAGGGCAAACTTTTGGGGGATCTTTCTTCTGAGCTCCCTCCCCAGCCCTCACCTCCATCCCCTTTATATTTCTGGACAGGTCTAAGTTGCCTCAGCCTCCCAGAGTGCTGGATGACAGCCGCTTCATGTGCCCCAGTTGTCTGAGCCGCTCCTGCCTCCCAGGCTCCTTCCCTGCTCAGCTACGGTGCAACTGCTGTGTCTGCAGACCTCATTGCGACACGATGTTCGGCGCACAAACACGTGGTAGCTTGGCCCCAGTCTCACCTATTCCCAGTCTCACTCAGGATAGTGCTGCTCCCTTGCCATGTAGCCAGTAGCACCACCACATGGAGCTCTCACCTGGGCCCTAGCAAGTCTGCCACCAGCCCCACAGCGCTGTAGCCCCATGGCAGCTGCTGGGAGCATCACTATCCTGAGCATCGCTGGTGGGCCCAGGAGGCTCCGCCCCAGCGCAACACAGGGGGCCACCATCCCCTCCTCCAAGGTAGCCACAAAGCTGGGCAAAACCATTCCAAACAATGCCATCTGCCCCACATAAAGTACAAATGGGGCACCGTCTGCTCCTGAGATCACCAGCCCTCAAAGGGCAGTAGCATGAGCCTGGAAGGCATGTCCAAGAATCTCTGCTCTCTCCGTGCTCTGAGGGCTTGTTCACAAGCTAGAAGGCCATGAAGACCAGGAGCATCACTGTTACTGCCAGAAAGGGCCTGCTGGATTGACAGCGTGGTCCTTCACAGTGGATCTCAGCACCCAAGGGTGTGACTGCATGGCCTGTTGTCTCCAAGGACAGGCAATGAGTGGGCAGGTCAGCTGAAGATGAGCAGGAATTCTGGGAGACTGGTCTAAGGACACACTCTCCACATACCTAGGCAGGCCACAAGGTGTGCGTAAGGGGCACAGGCAACAGCGCCTTTGGCCAACAACAACGCCTGCACCTGGCCAACAACAACGCCCATAAGAAGCCCAGGAAACAGCTGGCAGAGTGGAGCCTGCCCTGAGGGCTGATGTACCCCACTCCTCACAGCCCTGTCTACACAACCCACGAGCCCCCACGGCTGCACAGGCACAGGAGTGACATCCTTGGAAAGCAAGGTGAAGTGAGAGAAGGTGAGTAAAGAGACAGCAACAGAGACCTAGGGGGTAGACAGACTTCAGGTTAGACTAGACCAGTTCCTTAAAAGAAAAGGAAAAGAACAGAGAGCAGCCCACCATCACTGCTCTCAAAGAGAATAAATCAGAATCCGGAGCTGCCACAACGTACTAACTATAATATTCAGTATTTAACACAAAATTGTGAGACACTCAAAAAAGCTGTGACTCACACTCAGAAAAAGACTTGACAGAAACTGGGCACCCCAGATGTGGAACACGGAGCAGTACTGAAAGGCAACTACTGGAAGGAATAGAGCTGACAGATTTTAATAAAAAATTGCAAGGAAGAAGGTCCCAGAAGATCTGAGAGCTGGAGAAGTCAGGGCACATGAAGACTCTGGATTCAGCCTGACACAAGCGCAGCCAGCTCAAGCTGTAGCCACCATGACTGCCTTAGAGGAAGCCCTGTCTGTTCTGCAAGTACAAAGGACCATTAGAGAGCCACGTAGGGCTTTACCACGGGACCCTGGCACCAGGGCCATGCCTGCCTGATACGGTGTGGAGGACACCACTGCTGTCCCAAGCAACACGTGCTGCCACAAACCGGGACCCACACAGCAGCCCAGGTGCTCTCTTCTGCACGTCAGCATGCTTGGGAGCAGGCGCCTCCAGAACCAGACAAATTGACGGAATCCGCTCGATTCAAAAGGGAGAAGAGACCCGTGAACCGAGACCCGTGGGGCAACATTAAGCTACCAAGATGAGTATCACAAGCACCCAGCAAGCAAGGGAGAGACAAGGAAAGTAAGTAAATTAACTGAAATAATGGCCCCATGCTTGCCAAACAGCTTGCCAGACTTGATAAAAACATCAGATTCCAAATGCCACAGTCAGCCCCAGATAAGACAGAGCTCTACACCTGATGACATCCCATATTTTATTACCGAAAGTCAAAATAAAAACCAGAGGGCTGGGGATTTAGTTCAGCAGTGTAAGTGCCTGGCTGGCAGGGCATGAGATCATGAGTTTGATCTCTGGTACCAAAAAAAAAAAAATCCCCAAACCAAAAAACATATGGGCTACATAAATCACATAATATAGACTAACAATGTCTCTCTCTCTTTCAAAGCAAGAGGTCACAGGACTGTAGAATGACATTCAAAACCTTCAAAGAAAAAAACTATTAACTAAGAATTCTGCATCCAGAAAACTAGCCTCAAAATGCAGGCAAAAAAAGAATGCAAAATAAAAACATTTCCATGTAAAGACTAATAGAAATTGCTGCTAGCAGAGTTTATGCATAATACTGAAGGAAGTACTTCAGAAAAAATATTAGTGGAAGGGTCACCAGAAGGCAACTGATTCCAGAGAAATAACATCAAAAGTCATAAACATATAAATTAACAAATATGAATTTTTCCCTCACTGCTCTTAATTTTCTGAAAGACATGACTGTATAACATAATAAAAGGACACTGCACAAGTAACACATTTAGATGTGTTACTACGACAACAAGATCACAAATGGCAGGGAGTAAAAGGAGATATACTGGGAACTAGGACCTATTATAATCCCCAGAGTAATCACTAAGTTAAAAAAGGAACCAAACAGCATTCTAAAAGTATTTAACACAAATGACATTAAAGGAAGAGGAAACAAACTACACAAAACAAAGAGAAAAAAAATAGCGGGAGAGCAGATGGCTCCACCTGAAAGTGTTTTGGCCCAGACAAGACACTGTAGACAGTAAAGCCAAGGAGCTCCTATCTCCCCCACCCCTAGGAATTTACCTATGGCGCCAAAACAAAGACCAATGGGCTACCTGTGCATCCCTAATGCCCCCTCAGGCTCCACCCCAAACCAAGGCTACTTATATGCCTCCATTAAATGTGTTCCACGGAGAGATGGGGGGGGGGGGGCAGGGGATCGGGGTGTCTCTCCCCACATTCTCAAAATAAAGGTCATTTATATTTCATACTTCTTATCTTTCCAGCCGCTGCCGGTCCCCCACAGTTCTATCACCAACCACATTAATAGTTACATTAAATGCAGTCCGTGCTGAAAGGAACAGGTCCCCCACCCTAACCCCCTTTACAAGATCCGCCTGGATCTTGAAGGCTGGCCCTCCTCCTCATTAACCAGCCAGCCATCAGAAAGCCTGGCTTAGGCCTGGGGACAGACCAGCCTCCCGAAGACCTCCCCAGCTGTGTCCCAGTTCACTTGTCTGGGGATACCTGGCACTAATGATAAAAGGGACCAGAATTCCACTTTATGCATTATTTTTCCTCACAAAGATGGCTCCTCTAGGTACCTCAAAAGGGAAGAATGTGCAGGTCACGATTTGGTCACTCCTGGGGTCTCGGGGCAAAGTATCACCTCCACACTCACATCACTTCAAACCATTTTTAAAAATCTGCTCTTGAGGGGGCTCCCAGTCTTGCTAACGGCCCATGTCATGTGCAATTCCCTCTAAAAGGTCCAACCTGCGCCTAACAGTAAGAGTCAGCTTCTATCCCCAGCTCTTCTTCCTGTTTTCAGCTTCCTGGATGTCTGGAAGGCTGGTCAGCAGTTCCCACCTGGAGGGCACAGGCCTTGCCCGCAATGACTGCATTGTGCACAGCTACAGGACCTTTACTAACTCACGGGCACAGCTGCCAGGTGAAGACACCCAGCACTGCCCCAAGCCACTCCAGACCCAAGCCCTAAAAGCCAACCTGCAGGGCCGCTGATTGGGAGGCCTGCGGGACCCAGTGGTTAGTGACAGTTTTCCAATGTCGGCATACAGGACATTACAGGAAAAGTGGAAAACAGGAACAGACTGGACAACATGGCATCTGAATGGTATAAACTCAACCTGGCCTTTAGCTCTCTTTGTACTCCACAGACTTCTGATAAAACCCTAGCTCCAGAGAGGCCTTGAATACAATGGATGCAGCCACTTATGACTCCACATTCCGAAGACACCTAAGGAGTTGTGTCACCAGCGTGGCAACCCCTTGACTTTCAAGCACTCTATGAAGTAATGAGTATCATGCAACAGGACCTTTCCCTAAGAAGCTGTAATCTTTAGAAACTCTGGAGGATTGCTTTGGAAACCTTCCGAAGGGTGATGCGGGTTGCTTGAATCACCTGCTCTGAAATGTTTCCAGGTTAAGGCAGCTTGTGCTGTGACCCGAGGAGGAAAGCCTCCAAGTGTGGAGGAAAACCCACCTTTGCAGAAGTAACCCACAGATAACCATGTTCACCAGACACTCAAAAATACCCATGCCCAGTGATAGCACTCTAGGCCTCTGCCAAACTGAGGAACAGCTGAGTGGGACAACTTCTAGGGGAGACTGCCAACTGTGAGTCCTGATGTGAGTAAAACTACCAAAACTAACGAGGACATCTGAATAGAAAGGGAGTCCAGAATCTAGATGTTGTGTAACAGGAGACACATTTGGTCTCTACTCCCACATCCTGTCACAGAGCTCCCCAAATTCTTGGGATCACAAAACGGTGGTTTACTGCTGAGATGACTGGTGACTGGGGCTTTCCCTCAGCCTAAGGATGGGGCTGGCTGACAGCAGGCTGGCACTGTCAGCCCCAGCCGGGCCTCCCAGAAGGAGAAGAGCTACATACAGGCTGAGTCATAATGAACCATTAGCGACTCAACCCGTGGCCAGATAGTGAAACCCCATAAACATACTCCCGTCAGGAGTCAGGGCCTTCGGGCTGGTGGACACACGGAGGTGCTGTGCTCTCTCACACTGTGTCCTTCACGTGTCTTCCAGCCAGCTGTCCCCCAGCTGTGTCCTTCATAATAAACCAGTATTCTAGCAAGAGAACTGTTTTTCAGACTTCTTGCAGAAGGGGACACTCCTACCAAACAACAACCACCTTCACCCTCCCTTCTTGCAAGTCAAAGATGTCAACTTGAATGGTGAGTACAGTACAAAATTGTTTCTGGGAAACCAGGCACACACTGGGTAACTTTTGGTGAATACACTAGGAAAATTATTGGTGTTTCTGGTAAATTATGCACATTATACAAACCTTTTTTTTTTTTACTATGAAAAGGTTGGGTAAGGGGTGCTCTGGGAGGTACAGAACAGAAGGTAATGATATTTCCATTATTTCTTACAGGAAAGAGTCTTACAATCGACTCAAGTTGCCCCTGCAAACAAATCGAGTTGGTGAGTCAAGGCTCCCCTGTGTTCCAGGCTCAGGAGCAAACCCTTCAGCAGTACTCGACCCCCACATTATGAGGCAAAAGCAGCTATGAACAGCCCTTAAACACTGGTGCTGCATGCTAATAAAACCTTTAGGTACAAATCCAGGGAGCTGGGGGCCCAGGGCCTGCGGCCCCTGAGGTAGAGTACATCCAGCTAAATGCTGTGCTGGCCAGCTGGTGAGTACACGGGTGTTCACTGCATGACTTACATACAGCTCTTCCAGACAGACAGAAAACCCCACCTTCCCTGAGGAGACAGAGTCAGCTCGTCTTTTCTAGGATCAAAAGCACAAAGCGTGGTGTATTTTCCCTGTTACTCTCAGTGCCTTAATGACAAAACTCAACCCATGGAAATATGATGCATAAAAGTCCTTCTACAATTTCCCTGGGTGCCATTTTTTCATTTTAAAAGACACGGTATTTTGGAAAACAAATTGCTCCAAAAGGAAAATAACAACAGTACTTCAACTACGATGGTGAGTTCACCTGTTTCTTCTCACTACGTACAGTCAGTCCTTCCCCTCTCGTGTCTCAGAGAAGATGGGTCAGAAAAAAGAGTGGAACTGGCACTGACTGAACCCTGAGGCTGGGCATGTCCATGACATGCAGCTTCTCACTCCGGGAACACAGGCACTCACACAAATAAGGAGATTACAGGGTTGCAGCATCATCATGCCCAGGGGGAGACTCCTCGCCTTGGGTTAGGATCTATTTTGTTACATCATCATAGTTGTATGACTTACTTAGTAAGGTCTACTGACATAAAATGCACCATCTAACTTTAGGTGCACAGCTCAGTTACATCCAAAGTACTGTAACTATCACATTATTTCCATTTTTTCATGCAGTAAATGGAACTTCGCTCCTGCCCACAGTCAAGTGGCCACTCCTCTCCTCGCAGCCTCGGGTCACCCTGAATACTCTGTTCCTGTGACTTGGCCTACTGCAGCTACTTGAGTTAAGTAGAATCACACAGTATTTGTCTTCCACTGCTGGCCTCCTTCACTTAGCTAAGCTTTCAAGATCCACTCATGCTGCAGCACATATCAAAGCCCACTCCTGCTGGGGATGGACAGGTGGGCCAGCTGGCTACTTCCAGGCTCTTGTGAGCAGTGCTGTGATGAGTCTTCAGTTCTGGGCAGTGGACGCCGAGGTGTGGGGCTGCTACAATAGTGATTACAATCACCACCTTGAGGGGCATTGGACTGCTCACTGTGGCAGAGCTAGACACTCCCATGGGCCAGGAACACGCGCTGCAGGTCTCCACGTTCTTGGCTTACAGCCCGAAGTGAAGGGACAGTTCAGTACACTCTCATCATCCTGGTAACTAACTAAAGGTGCTATCTTTCCATGTGCTTAATGGCTGTGTGTCTTTTTTTCAAAGAAACATCTGTTTAAGTCCTTTTCCCCTACTTTAATCACACTGCTCAACATTTTCTCTGAGTTACAAATGTTCTGATATATCTGGATATTGAGTCCTATCGGACACATTTCCCATCCTGTAAACTGCAGTTTTGCTTTCTGAAAAATGTCCTTTGCTACAAAAAAGTTTAATTTTTATTAACTTTTAATTTTTATTATTTTTCTTTTGAGTCTGCTTTTAGTGCTGTATCTAAACTTGTTATTCTCCTTCCTTTTTCTCCTTCCTTGCATTTTCTCCTTCCTTTTTTCCATTATAACAACTATTAAAGGAAGTTTTGTTATTAGATATATTAAATGTGCTATATATTTCACATATAATTCCTCTCAAAAAAAAAGGCAGCAAAAAACAGCAGGACACATGTTGATAAGATCATGAAAATTTACCCATTATTTTCTAAGATTTTAAAGTTTTAGCTCATACTTGGTTCAATGATGAACTTCAAGTTCACTTTCATCCATGGTATGAGGTAGGGGTCTGACTTCACTCTCTGGTACTTACAAACCCTATTGGCCCAGAATCCTTTCTGAAAACACTATTCTCTGTCTTTGGTTTTCTTGTATTTTTGTTTGTAATTTCTGAGACAGGATCTACGTGGCCCAGGCTGGCCTCAAAAGCATGGCATTCTTCCTGTCTCAGCTTCCCAGGTGCTGGGATTATAGGCATGCACCACTATGGCCAATATCTATTCTCTTAATGGACTTGGTACCCTTGAAAACAAAATCTACTGGCCATAGATGTGCAGGATTACCTGTGGGCCACGTTCCACTCACTGGCCTGTGCTTGGTCCATTACCAAACTGTGATTATACATACAGTTAACTTGACTGCAAACAAAGATATTTATAACACAATCTGTAGGAAGGCCTCTGACCCTTAGGGAGGCCAGAAGACCCCTACCTGAGAACACAGCTGGCCTGGAGGACTGCTTGGCCTGCCGGGCATGCTGCTTCTTCTCCAGCGCTGCTAGCATGCCTCCCAAATCCAACTGCACTGGGATCTGGCTTTTCTTTCCACTGTTTCTAAAATTATTCTAAAAGTTCAAAAAAAATCATAAGTTTACTTACAGTACTAAGTTTGACACAGAGCTTATCATTTTGCAAAAAATTTATACATGTGAAGAGTTAAAATGACAGCAACCATAAAAGCCATATTTTTACAAAATCAAATAATTAAAAGGAAAAACATCAATCATATATTATATGCAACAGTACTGAAGTTATAGTTCCTCTTCCTTTTAAACACTGAGTTTCTAAGTCACTTTGAGTTCTGTCTATACCTCCACTATGAGAGGGTGAACACCAAGGCTTATCTAATATAGCCTTCCTTCAGCTACAAAAATCCCTCCTTGGTTACTGTCTCTAGTACCATTCTCTACCTGCCCAAGAGAACTGACAAACTGCCATGAAATTATACGGTTGGGACTAAAATCTACAGATGTAAGTCACACCCAGCAGATAATACCAACTGTAGAGCCGAAGTCTGATGTACTCCAAACAAATGTTATTTCTGAAATATTTTCAAAGTTGTGATTTGAACTGTGAAAGTGTACACACTATGTACAAGATAGCCCCAGGACATATCCTTGGGCACACCGGCCCTCCGCACCTTCAATCCCGCCTGTCACCAACAACCCCATGGGCTGAGGGCTCCTGGCAGGTACACACTCAGGGCAGCACAAGCAGGTAGGAACACACTGAAGAATAAACGCCCTGAGTACACAAGCTCTTCTCTCAATTATGATTCACTGCTCCCGGCTGAATCCAGGCGGCCAGGGGCCAGGGGCCTCCCTTTTACTGACAATGAAAGTTCGGTGTTTCTCGTATTTTTCCTTCTCACACTTTACCACCACTGAGCAAATGAATCGTTTCCTGAATCAAGTGAGTCAACTTTCTTTCCATTAAGCCCTGACTTTGTGATAAAGCAATCGCAGGAGCCAGTAGTTCTGTAACAGGGGACACAGCGTCTTGGCTTGGGATCTATTCTCCCATGAAAGAATGAATCAAAACAAAACCACCACCTTAGAATACAAAGATGTCTGCAAAGTAGTTTTTTTCAAGAATTCAAGAGTTATTACAAGGAAAGACAAGCTTAGAGCAATTATGGTTTCAATCTAAAAATTACCTGTGGCTGCTGTTTAGATGGAAATTTTGGTGACTCTACTCTGTCTCTTCTTTCAGATGCAACTGCCAGATTGGGAAACTCCTCAGCATCCTAAGTAAACCACACACTGCTTTAGCGCCTCATTCATCAGAAGAATGCAAATATGCCAAGTGCAATCTTTTCCTACTTTAGTAAGACCCCAGGAAAGCTCTCAACAGTGAAGCAGAATAGCCCTGAAATGCAAATCTAACAGCTGCTTTAATTCTTAGACTAGATTTAAAGATCATGCTTTCAATGCTCACACCCAGAAAAACAGAGAGCACCACTGAGGATCCCAAGGGGTCTACAGAACTGACCCTGTACTACCTTGGCCTGACAGAGTCCAAGGACCTGGGTTTTTGCTGGTCTGTTTTTTGCAGTACAGTAGGCCCCAGATACTATCAGACCTCAATGTGAACTCGTGCAAAGTAGCTCACCAGCATGCTGGACCCGGTCACAGCTGTGCAGCTGTGTGTTTAAGGTGCAGTGTGACCCTGCACAGTAGCAGTGTAGTGGAGGGCTCCTGTACTCAGATATTTATGCTCTGTACCGTGTATCTGTGTTGGAGGTGTAGGAGTCCCACTTTGCGAACTTAGCAGGCACCTGACTTGGGAACGTTCCCTGGCGCACTTAAGTTGGGACTTGAGCACTAGGGATCGAGCCGAGCCCAGGGTTCTCCCTCCGAGCTTCATCCCCAGATTCTTTGCCATTTTTTTTTCCAATTTTGAGACAGAGCCTAAGTCACTGATTGTCCAGGATGGATCAAACCTTCACCCTTCCTGCCTCAGCCCCCAGAGTGCTAGAGTTATAGCACTGATCACCACCGTGCCCAGCCCAAGACCTTGCTCTTTAAGGATTATGTTTTCATTAGAAAACCCATCTAACCTACATTCCCTAGATTAAGTGTCCTCAGCTTTGTGTTCAACTAAGTTAGTCAACAGAGACAAGGGCAAAAGCCTGCTACAAAACAATTTTAAACTCTGAAAAGTATCTCAGGTCATGGGGCCAACACTCTGTCACTTTGTCAGCATGTAGGTGCTCTGCGGAGGTGAGAAATGCACGCTGCCCCCGGCCTGGCCATAACTCTCTGACACAGGAGAAGGGCTTCACACAGGTACCTCCACTCTTGAGTGTGTGTCCAGCACCTTGGGACCCACCCCTCCAAATCTCTGGGAGTGTCCTAGGCTTGGCCCTCAGGCTGGACACTGGGCAGGATTTCCTGTGCCTGCACAAGCAGCCAGGATGCCCAAGTCTGGGAGGGCAGTGTGAAGACAAGCAGGCTGTGATGAATGCAGTGAGAGCCCAGGCCAGCTCCCTGGTATACCGTGGCTGTGTTGGGACAATGGGTGCACTGTGGGACACACTCTACACCAAGATTCCTAACTAGAAACAGAGGCTCTGCAGAAGCCAGCATTCTAAAGCAAGGAAAACAACACAGAGGAGAACTGAGGGGCACTCATAGTAAGGTGGCACACCTTCACTTGGATGCTCAGGGTGCCCGCCAAGAGCCGCAAGGGAAGGGAGGACAGCAGGTGTCTGCGGAGCTGTTCTGCACTAAGGAAGGGGGATTACAGGAAATGCTGGAAAAGGCCCTTTCCTTAGATAGCACTAGGGAAGGAACAAATGTATACGTACTTCAATTCTTGGTGGCTGTTGCACTGTCAGGATTTCGTAGTTAGATTTGGACTTTTCTTTTTTTTTCTTATTTTTCCTTGAGACTTCATGTTGTTCGGGGTCACCACCTTGTGATGCTTGGAACTAGAACAAAAAAGGGAAAAACTGTCTTTACAGCCTGCAGTACAGTCTCTCATATCATGTGTGCCTAACGTCCTGTTCTCAAGGTGCAAGCCCAATGAGCTGAGCTGAGCAAGTACAGGACACCATGCATTTGCTTACAACATGGGAAAGGGAGGACCCCAGTGGCATGGGAGATCCTCACTGCCACGATTCGTGCATCTTTGTTTCAGTTTCCAAACTGTGAAACCGAGCAGAGGAGCGGTGGCACCTCAGCTGCGTTCAGCACACGTCCTGTGTGTCCCATGCATCCCGTGCATCGATGTTGTACTAACATCATCACCCTCCCCCTCCAGGGCAAAGGTCCCTTGTAAAACTGAACCTCTGAACATTAACTCCCCACCCCGTTCTCCTCCTGTCTCTAGCGATGCATACCTTTTTAGCAGGATGGACACCATGTTTCTCTTTGTTATAGGAAGGATCTGAAGACAAAACTTCAGAAGATGACACACTAACACTTTTAGGATCTGCTGACGAAACCGCCTTTAGGTTTATCATAGAAGTAACATTCATATTCATAGGTGCTGGGGAAGGTTCTGAAGATAATGTCTGCCGAACTATATAACCCATTGGTGTCCAAGATAACTCTGCTCAAAGATAACCAAAAACGTTGAACAAACAACCCCAACGGTAAACAGAAACTGCAGTTACTCAAACATGCATTAAATGAGTAATTACTCAGAGTATGGCCGAAATTAGATTACTGTCCACAGCATCCCACTGGAAACCACAGTACTCACTACACTTGTTTCTTCTTCTGTGAGCACACATGATGAATTTTTCTCTTTAACTACTGATTTTCCTACTTTTTAACTGGGCATGGTAGAGAGGGTGTAAGTGGGCAGACAGACACTGTTCTAGTTAAAATACAACCCACAACAATAGCCATGTGGCAGGCACACAGAATTGAAGAGTTAAAAGATCCAAGTTCGGCCCTGCTAAGCCTGGTGTGTACTTGCACATCAGAAGTGACAGATCGCTACACATCAGCTATCATAATAACTGGTAATTTGTATGTTTCAGAACACAGGTATAAGCACAGCAACCCTACTCCACCTAGGTGCCCACGAAACTCTGTACAGACAAAACAGAAGGACCCAGCCACCCATCAGGGCCTGGGCCGCACATAGTTCACTGTTTGCACTGCTACAGAGCCACACACACTCAGAACAGCCTAGAGCCAAGGACCATAGAAGCACAGGAGCATCAAATGCAACACCAGGAAAACATCGAGTTTTCCATTACAACAAGCCAGCATCAGACCTCAGAATCTACCCAACTCTTCCTGAATAAATTACCACTGGACTGAGACAGGACAGAGGTGCTCTCAGGGTCCCCTCAGGGCCTGTGTATGACTGTGTCAGCTGTCTTCCTCACTCCCCCTGACTCAAGTGTGCCACAGTACAGGGCATGCGCCAGCAAAACAACCACAGACCAACGCAGGTCTGTGTAGCAAAGCCAAATGGTGAGACTCGCACAAAAATGGTAAAGCAAGGCCCTCCCACTTGTCTTGGGACTTAGGAAAACAGTTTTAACATGAAGAAACTTTTTAAGGGCTGGGGTTTAGCTCAGTGGCTCAAATGCTTGCCTGGTAAGTGGGAGGTCATGAGTTTGATCCCTGGTACCAAAAAAAAAAAAAAAAAAAAAAAAAAAGCAGCAGCAGCAGCTGTGTAAAACAGTAGTATTTTTTGTTTGTTTTTTCTTTTTGAGACCAGGTTTCACTGTGCAGTTCAGGCTGGCTTTGAACTCATTTTGTAGCCCAGGCTGACCTTGAACTGACAGTGATCCTCCTGTCTCAGCCTCCAGATTGCAGGGTTTACAGGTGTGTGCACTGTGATGGTCTGGGTCTGGATGTCCCCCCAAAGCCTCGTGCAGTCATAGAGGGGGTGCTTCCAGAGTTGGTGAATGACTCAGGGTCCAATGTGGGGATGATGGGTGTGAGTGTGGTTTACACACAACATAAGGGACAGGAAGTCTTGTGCCCATGCTCTTGTCCCCTTTGGTTCTTGCTGCCACCATGAAGGGCTGCCCTGGTGCCACACCACCCTGCCTTGGAGCCAGCTGAGCATGCACTGAAACCTCCACAAACTGTGAGCTAAACAAACCCTTTCTTAACTTTAGGTGTCAGGTATTTTATACTAGCAATGAGAGAAAAGGAACCAAGAAGGCCACCATGCCCAGCAAGCATTCATTATTTTTAAGTGAATTAGGATTTTAAAAGTTTGTTTTCACTTTGAACATGGCAAAACTATCACCAAACAGAATCTCTTTAAGGCTCTCAATTTTTAAAGGTAATTTGAGGTCCTGAAAACAAAGCTTTTAGAAATAGGTAACACAGAAGTAGTCATTCCTAAGATTCATAAAATGCTCACTTAATTGGAGACGTTTCCATTAAAATTCTCATTTCCTCACTCTTCTTGAATACAGATGTGGGATCTCACTAAATATTATAAACTACACTTATGTCAGTGCATCAGTAACTCACTAGCTGCCTCAAAAAAAAGGCTTTAAAACAAAAAACATTTATTGTATTGAATTGATAATGAGCTTGGAAAATACATAACTCGCTTTTAAAAATAGTATTTTGTAATGACTCTTACCTCTTGTACATGATGGGGAATTGGAAGCATCATTATCAGATACAGATTCACTTGGGGTTTTTTTCACCACTATCTCATCCTAAAAAGAAAATATATTAGATGTTATCAGGGAAACTCAAAACAGCTGCCTACCACCACACACCTCAAAGGTATACAGACACTGTGGCAAGGGTGGGAGTGAAAGGGGCTTCACAGTGGCCAGGGAGAGTACATAATGCACCCCTGCAGAACACAGGGCGTGGGTTTCTTACGACAACTATCAGGTCAGAAATATGCACAGAGAAAACTCAAATGTGCATTATTACTGTGGGAAAGAAGCCAGTCTGGAAAGACTACACACATGCTGCGTGACTTCCACTGTTGACATTCCAGAAAAGGTAAAACTCATAAAAAAGTAACAAGTCAAGAACATTCTATTATAGTAACCTTTGTTAAATGTACAGTAAGACTGGAGACAAAGATTTAAAACCCCCTGGAATATTCAGAGTTATACTGTGTCATTTTAAATATTACTATTTCTCTTGAAGTCTTTTTCTCCGTGTTTCAGAAAGTGCTGAGATTGCAGTGTTCAGTGTTTTTTTTTTTTTTTTTTTTTTATTTAAGAGGAAAAAGAGAAAAACACAAAACAAAACAAAGCAGTGTAAGGTTACATATAATACAGAACTACAAAAAAAAGGATAACAGTAAGAAATCACCTGTTAATAGATTACATATTATCATCTTGGAAATAGTTGCTCAAATCACAGTATCAAAGAATACAAAGTAGACATTCAAACAGAGAGACTACAAACAGCTGTGTTCAATGATCCAAAAACATTAATATAGTCAGCTATTCAACATCCCTATACACACTTGCTGTTATATCCGTTAGAGCTCTTTTTTCCCCTTCCTCTCTTTTTACAACAAAATTTACACATTTTAGATTTTATTACTCCTTAGTTCTTATTACTTTTTGGGGGGGGGAGAATAAAGTCAAATATGGCAGAACAAAGCTGTCAGTGAAAACCAAGGATAGACTTAGCACATGATGTAGAACAGAGTATACGGTTATTAACAATAGTTATCAACGTTGTCTCTTGTTTCCTTAAAAAGATTTGTCTATCTCATTAGATATTATAAAGTTGGACAAAACAGTAGAGAACAAGACCAATAAAACTTAGACATTGTAAACATTACAGGACTTCCAAAGGAGACAATAGTCAAACCAGAATGGGCATCTTAGTGAATCTTACTGCCTTCAAAGTAGTTGCCTATACCCTCGGACCTGATACTATCCCACAGAATGGAACAGAGTCTAATCAGTCAAAACAAGATCGTGGGAGCATTACAGGACTTCAAAACAAGTTAATAGGAAATCGAAAAGAGTTACTATTATATATCCTAATTTTTAAAATTTTTCCCTTAATTAAAATAAACATAAGAAATAACTAAATAATTTTTTTAAAGAATAATAGTTACCATAGTGTCTGTCTTTTTCCTTGAGATATTTGGATAAAACTTCATATACTATAGCTTCAAATATTTCCATATCAAGAAGCCCGGAATAAAGCCTTTCTAATTAATAAGTGAAAATTTTATAAGGCTTCAAGGCCACATAATGGGGAATCATGATTGCCACATATTTTCATATATTTGAATCATTACTTACATTAGGGAAACTATTCGGTATTCATACATGCGAGATTGATTTATTTCACTTATGAGTATGGTCTCAAGCTGCGCCCATTTATTGATAAATATCTCAATGTGATCCTTCTTTATAGCTGAATAATATTCCATTGTATAGAAATACCACAACTTTTTTATCCATTCCTCAGTTGATGGACACTTGGGTTGTTTCCAAGATCTGGCGATTACAAATTGTGCTGCTATAAACATAGGTGCACATAAATCACTGTGGTATGATGCTTTCAGTTCTTCTGGGAATATGCCTAGAAGTGGAATAGCTGGAATAAATGGGATTTCCAATCCCAACTTTTTGAGAAACCTCCAGACAGACCTCCACAAAGGCTGTACCAGTCTACACTCCCACCAACAGTGCAGGAGAGTTCCTTTTTCCCCACATCCTCTCCAGCATTTGTTGTTGTTGGTTTTCTTGATCCTGGCCATTCTTTCAGGAGTGAGATGGAATCTCAGTGTGGTTTTAATTTGCATTTCTCTGATGACCAATGATGATGAGCATGTTTTCATATATTTATTTGCCATTTGCATTTCTTCATCTGAGAATTGCGTATTCATCTCAGATGCCCATTTTTGGATTGGATCTTTGAATTTTGGAGGTCTGAGTTTTTTTAATTCTTTATATGTTTTAGACAAGAGTCCCTTGTCTGAGAGAGAGTTCACTAAAATCTTTTCCCAGTTTGTGGGTTTTCTTTTCACTATGCTGGAGATTTCTTTTGACATGCAGAAACTTTTTAATAAGATGTGGTCCCAGTTATTGATTCTGGGAAGTGTTTCCCGTGTGGTTTGAGTCCTGTTCATGAATTCTCTACCTACTCCTATGTCTCCAAGGTTTCTACCCACTTTGTCTTCCAATAGATTTAGTGTTTCTGTTTTAATATTCAGATCTTTGACCCATTTAGATTTTAATTTAGTACATGGTGATAGACATGGGTCTAGCTTTAGTTTTCGGCAAATGGAGAGCCAGTTTTTCCAGCACCATTTATTAAAGAGACTGTCGTTCTTCCAGTGAACCTGCTTGGCTCCTTTATCAAAGATAAGGTGGTTGAGTGTGTTTGTAGTTGTGGTTGTATCTTCTAATCTGTTCCATTGATCTTCGCCTCTGTTTTGATTCCAATACCATGTTGATTTTACTACTGTTGCTTTGTAGTATAACTTCAAGTCAGGGATTGTGATGCCTCCTGCTTTGCCTTTGCTGCTTAGAATTGCCTTTGCGATTCTAGGTCTCTTCTGGTTCCAGATGAAATTTAGGAGTGATTTCTCTAGATCTATAAGGTATGTTGATGGTATTTCTATTGGGATTGCATTGAATCTGTATAAGAGTTTTGGGAGAATGGCCATCTTCACAATGTTTGTTCTTCCTATCCATGAGCAAGGGATGTCTTTCCATTTTCTGAGATCATCTTCAATTTCCTTTTTCAGTGTATTATAGTTTTCACTGTATAAGTCTTTCACTTCTTTCGTAAGAGTAATTCCTAAATATTTCATTTTTTTGCTTGCTAATGTGAATAGTCCAGTTTCTCTTATTTCCCTCTCTGTAATTTTGTTGTTCGTGTATAGGAATGCTATTGATTTCTGAGTATTGATTTTGTATCCAGCCACATTACTGAATTTATTTATTGTATCTAAGAGTATTTCAATGGAGTTTAGGGGGTCTTCTATGTAGAGTATCATGTCATCTGCAAACAATGATAACTTAACTTCTTCTTTTCCTATCTTTACCCCTTTTATTTCTCTTTCTTGCCTAATTGCTCTGGCTAGTACTTCCAGTACTATATTAAATAGGAGTGGTGATAAAGGACATCCTTGTCTTGTGCCTGATTTTAAAGTAAAGGCTTTCAATTTTTGGCCATTTAGAATGATGCTGGCTGTTGGTTTGTCATAAATGGCCTTTATTATATTGAGGTAAAGACCATCTATTCCAATTTTCTGTAAAGTTCTTATCATGAATAAATGTTGGACCTTATTGAAGGCTTTTTCTGCATCTATAGAAATGATCATGTGATTCTTATTTTTGGCTTTATTGATATGGTGGATTACATTTATTGATTTGCGTATGTTGAACCATCCTTGCATTCCTGGGATGAATCCCACTTGGTCATGGTGTATAATCTTCTTGATGATTTGCTGGATCCTATTTGCCAATATTTTATTGAGGATTTTTGCATCTGTGTTCATTAGGGAGATCGGTCTATAGTTCTCTTTTTTAGTTGGGTCTTTCTCAGGTTTTGGTACTAGAGTAATATTTGCTTCCAGGAACGACTTAGGAAGGATTGCTTCCCTTTCAATTTCATTGAACAGTTTGAGGAGTGTCGGCATTAGGTCTTCTTTGTATTTCTTGTAGAATTCTGCAGTGAATCCATCTGGGCCTGGGCTCTTCTTGGTGGGTAAGGACTTAATTACATTTTCAATTTCAGTAACAGAGATTGGGTTATTCAACAGTTTTACATCCTCTTGATCTAGCTTTGGCACTTCATATGCTTCTAAGAATCTGTCTATTTCTTCTGTGTTATCAAACTTTTGAGAGTAGAGGTTTTCGAAGTAGGTGTTGATGATCTTCTGTATTTCTATTGGGTCTGTAGTGATTTCTCCTTTTTCATTTCTTATTGCATGAATTTGAGCTTTTTCTTCCCTTTTTTTAATAAGGTTGGCTAGGGGCTTATCGATTTTATTTATTCTTTCAAAGAACCAACTCTTTGATTTGTTGATTCTTTGGATTGTTTTCTTAGTCTCTATTGCATTGATTTCTGCTCTGATTTTTATAATTTCCTCTCTTCTTTTGGCTTTGGGCTTGACTTGCTCTTCTTTTTCTAGCTGTTTGAGGTGTAGCATCAAGTTATTTATTTGTATTCGTTCTGTTTTCCTGATGTGGGAACTCAGTGCAATAAATTTTCCTCTCAGGACGGCTTTCATTGCATCCCACAGGTTCCGGTAAGTTGTATCTGTATTTTCATTTTCTTTTAGGTATTGTTTGATTTCTTCTTTAATTTCCTCTGTGACCCACTGATTACTCAAGAGTGTGTTATTCAGTTTCCATGTGTTTGTGGGATTTTTGCAGTATCTTTTATCATTAATTTCTAATTTCAGAGCGCTATGATCCGATAACATGCAAGGGATGATTTCAGCTCTTTTGCACTTGTTTAAATATGTTCTGTGAGCTAATATATGGTCTATTTTAGAAAATGATCCATGTACTGCTGAGAAGAATGTGTATTCTGATGTTGTTGGGTGGAACATCCTGTATATGTCTATCAAACCCATTTGTTCACAGGTATGATTCAGTTCTGTTATTTCTTTGCTCATTTTCTGTCTGGTTGATCTGTCCCTTGGTGTCAATGGCGTATTAAGGTCTCCTGTTACAATTGTGTTACTGATAATTTGAGTTTTCATTTCTGTTAATAATTGTTTTATATAACTTGGTGCTCTGGAGTTTGGTGCGTATATATTTAAGATAGTTATCTCTTCCTCTTGGAGTTTTCCCCTTACAAGTATGTAGTGACCTTCTTTGTCCTTTATGGTCATTGTTGGTTTAAAGTTCACGTTGTCTGCAAACAGAATGGCTACTCCTGCCTTTTTCTGGATTCCTGCTGCATGAAGAATTGTTTTCCATCCTTTGACTTTCAGTCTGTGAGTATCCTTCTGGGTTAGATGGGTTTCCTGTAAACAGCATATGGTTGGATTTTGTTTCTTGATCCATTCTGCTAGTCTGTTTCTTTTGATTGGTGCATTGAGACCATTTACATTAATGGTTATTACTGTTAAATGCTGGTTAATTGTAGGAATGTTATCTCTCTGCTGTTGCATCTTTATCTTTCTGTTCTGTTTAATTATTTGCTTTGCTTAGTGGTTTTTTCCTTTGTGTATCTAAACTGTCTTTCAATATTTTTTGCAGGGTCGGTTTGGTGTTCATGAAGTTCTTCAGCTGTTCTTTGTCATGGAAGTATCGTATTGCACCATCTATTTTGAATGATAGTTTTGCAGGATATATCAGTCTTGGTTGGAAATCATTTTGCTTTAGGATCTGGAATATTTCACTCCATGCTCTTCTTGACTTTATCGTTTGTGCTGAGAAGTCTGCTGTGATTCTGATAGGTTTTCCTTTATAAGTGATCTGTCTTTTCTCTCTGACAGCTTTTAGTAATCTATTCTTGTGTTGGATTTCTGGGATGGTGATTATTATATGTCTGGGTGTAGTTTTATTTTGGTTATGACTGTTTGGAGTTCTATATGCTTCACTGATCTTGATGTCAGTTTCTGATCTCATGCTTGGGAAATTTTCAGCTATTACTTCTCTAAATATCCGCTTGACATCCTTTATGTTGTCTCCCTCTCTTTCATTAATCCCTATCATTCTTATGTTATTCTTCTTTGCATCGTCTTGCAGTTGTTGAATTGTTGTTTCCTGATTCCTTGTTATTTTCAAAAGATCTTTCCTTTCCTGTTCACTAGCTGCAATCATGTCTTCAAGGTCTGAAATTCTATCTTCACTTTCATTAAGGCGGTTTTTACAACTTTCAGTGGAGTTTTTTATTTCCTGTATATCTCTGTGCATCTGCATTATGTATTCTGTTTGTTTCTTATATTGCTCATCTAGGGATTCTATCTTTTTGTTTAGTTCCTCCAATTTTTTATCCGTGTTTTCTTTAGATATATTTAGAATCTCTTTCATTTCTTTTATCATTTCTTCTTTTATCTGGGAGATTATTTCGAGTTTGAATTTCTTTAAAGCTTCCTGGAGTTGTTTGTCAACTTCAGTAGCTATTATGTCCGATATATGAGGTGGATGGGATATATTTTCTTCTATATACATTGCTCCTAGGGTTTCCTGAGATGGGCTGGAGGTTTGAGGTTGTAATTTGGTCTTTCGTTTTGTCATTTTGTATATTTCTGTGTTTCAAGTGTTATTTGAAAGCTTCCTCAGGATCTGTTGAAAATCCCCTTCTATGCTTGGAGCTACTGAGCCTCTGACACCGCACTACCCCAAGCCATTGGGCCTGCAGAACCAGTGTCCCTCCTCTGCCTGCTCAGAACTCCGCAGTTCCAGACAAGCTGGGCCTCAGGGACACTGTGCGCCCACCTGCCCCTTGGAAGATCCACAGCTCTTCAATTGCAGCCAGGTTAGGGTGCTCTCCACAGGCCACAGTGCCTCAGGAGCCTGTGATCCCTCCCTGCTTGCAGAGATATCCACAGTCCTCTAGGCAAAGGAAGGGACTTCTGCAGGCACTCCAGATCCGCCCAGCTCCTCCTCTGCAGGCAGATGGCTAGGCGCGGCTGGGCTCGGGGATTAGTGTAGGCCCGCCCATCCGTCAGGAGCTCAGCAGACTTCCAAGTGTAGCCGGGGGGGGGGGGGGGGGGGGGCAGCTGTAGTGGCCTCTAACCCACTGCTCCACTTCACTGCACCCAGAAGCCTGGGGGGTCCGGAACAGTCTGAGATTTGGGCAGACTGTGCTGGGCACTCACCACAGGCTGAGGTGCCTCAGGAAGCTGCGATGCCTCCCTGCTTGCAGAAGTATTCAGTCCTTCAGACAAAGGAACGGGCTTCTGCAGGGACTCCGGATCCGCCCAGCTCCTCCTCTGCAGGAGATGGCTAGGTGCGGCTGGGCTCGGGGGTTAGTGTAGGCCCGCCCATCCGTCAGGAGCTCAGCAGACTTCCAAGTGTAGCCGGGGGGGATGGGGAGGCAGCTGTAGTGGCCTCTAACCCACTGTTCCACTTCTCTGCACCCAGAAGCCTGGGGGGTCCGGAACAGTCTGAGATTTGGGCAGACTGTGCTGGGCACTCACCACAGGCTGAGGTGCCTCAGGAAGCTGCGATGCCTCTCTGCTTGCAGAAGTATTCAGTCCTTTAGACAAAGGAACGGGCTTCTGCAGGGACTCCGGATCCGCCCAGCTCCTCCTCTGCAGGAGATGGCTAGGTGCGGCTGGGCTCGGGGGTTAGTGTAGGCCCGCCCATCCGTCAGGAGCTCAGCAGACTTCCAAGTGTAGCCGGGGGGGATGGGGAGGCAGCTGTAGTGGCCTCTAACCCACTGTTCCACTTCTCTGCACCCAGAAGCCTGGGGTGTCCGGAACAGTCTGAGATTTGGGCAGACTGTGCTGGGCACTCACCACAGGCTGAGGTGCCTCAGGAAGCTGCGATGCCTCTCTGCTTGCAGAAGTATTCAGTCCTTCAGACAAAGGAACGGGCTTCTGCAGGGACTCCGGATCCGCCCAGCTCCTCCTCTGCAGGAGATGGCTCGCAGTGTTCAGTGTTGAAAGCGGGCTGTCAGAGCAGCTAAGCAGCCAGGCACTGCCAGAACCAATAGCGCCTATCAGGTGCTTCTTTTAAAAAGGTAACTGACAAGGTGTTGCAGTCAGTATGAACAGCTCAAATGAGAGGTGAGCCATAGACATCAGGAAAGGCCTCCCCGAGGACCTCCTCCCTGCAACATAGACGTCACAGCCCACACCAGCATTGAATGTACCATACTGGAAGTGGGGCAGCTGAAAAGGTGTATGGTGAAAAGAAAGGAAAACACAAGAAAGACAAATTGCCCTGTCCTCCCCCTACTTACCCCTGACACCACTCCAACGGGCTCTCCCACTTCTCCTACAAGAGACATGGTGGCGCTGGACCGCAGAGGTCCCCATTGGCACTGCTTCTGTATCCCTGACACACTGCTCTCTGGACCCTGCAATTCAGGAAAATCCAACCTGCTAAATTCAAACTCAGGTTTGGAGGTAGACGGACTCTTTTCAGTGGTTCTGGATTTCCTGTCTGTTCGCTTATGGTAACCATCTGGAAGCACAGAATAAAAAGTAGATGTAAAAATGCAGATAAAAGTTTGATGACTAGTAATCAAGCTTAAGTCTTACATAAGAAAGCCCACTGCTAATTTTGTAGGTGTTGCCACCCTTCTTTATAGGACTATGGAACACAAGTGACCAGAAGCATCTATCACTGTTTGGACCAGAATGTAAAAAATCAAAATGCACTTCGAATTTTGGGAGAAATTCTAAAGCTGATGAAATAGTTATCTTAAGCTGATTGCACAGCCGAGCATTTTAATTATTCCTAATATACATTTTATTTATGGGAGTGGTTGAGACGGGATCTTACTTTGCAGTTCAGATTGGCCTTGAACTCACTCTGCAGCCCAGGCTGGTGGTGCCCTCACAGTGATCCTCCTGCCCCAGCCTCCCAAGTGGTCAAGGTGTGTGCTACCATGACTGGCTTCCTAACATACACTTTGCAGTGTGGCAAATTTAAGGGGATTCTAACAAATTTCCTACAACTAATACACTTTGCACTCTTCAGATTGCTGGAGCTGGAACAAACTGGAGGAAGGCAAGTAGCATGAAACTTCAGGCCTCTGTCCCATTTTTCTCCTTAAATGTAGCAGATGATGAGGTAGGCTTAGTGCCATGAAGTCCCTCCTAGAATTACAAGGCCAGAGTTCCTACTTCTTTCCTTTCACATTCCCATGTGCCCACTGAGTCACATGAGTGGAGTCAGCAAAAAGATAAGATAATTGCAGTCCCAGGAACAATTATAAAGGCTATCAGTCACTACCAAAGTAGGCGATGGCTGTGATTAAACTGCAGCTGTAATTTACAAAGAAAAACAAAGGTACCAGCTACAATCACTAGCTTCCAGCAGACTGAAACAGAAGTTTTCAAGGCACAGAACAGATGTGACCTGTGGCACAAATAGAAATGGTGTCCTCCGAGTCACCACTGTGGTCAATTTGGTATTATTTAAGATGGGCCTTTAACCAGTCAAACTTTCCACCTAATAAAAGCCCCATCAGAACAGCAGAGAAGCTATTTCAGGAATGAATGCAGCCCAATATAGTACAAAGCACATGACTATAATTTGTTTTTATTTAAGGGCATGTTTTAAAGCTTGTAGTCATCACCTATCTGCTGTGTGATGAGAAATGCAAGGAAGAGAACAACCATGACAGGCTAAGGCCCCTTCTCAACTCGCAATGCACATTACCACACTGGGATCCTCTGCTTGAGGCAGAAAAGGCTCGCAGAGTCCCATAGGAAGTCTGATGCCCTCAGCTGTGCTGGGCGCCAGGCCTCATCGCTGGAATGGTCACAATGAACAGGCCCAGAGAGACGGTGGTGCTGCTGGCATAGGTGACACTCCCCACATGGTCTGTTTTTTTACCTGGTTTCGATCTATTCTCAGCATGAATGGACAAATGGTGGGACCCTCTGGCTGACTTGATCTCAGATAATACTGGACCATCAGTCCTTTTAAACTTCTGCTCATTGTATGTTTTTTTCTCGTCACAAGTTTTTTTCTGTAGGAGATTTAAAAAATAACATGAAATAAGAAAACTACCATCACAAAAAAAGGTTTAAAAAAGTAAATTAGTAAGTATTCACAATCCATTTTTAAAATGTTAGACCAGGTAGTACTTAACTCTCATGCAAAAACATACCAATTCCTTACTTTTGCCACTCCATGCATTTCCTCACCTTTAATGGAGCTCTCGTTTCTTGGAGGACAGTGCACATTTGTTCATTTGGGGGCTTTAGAGTCTGAAAACCTCGGTGTCGACTGGGTTGGCTGTAATCATACCTCGAGGCAGGCACCGAGCACACATTCTGTGTAGTCTCAAAGGTATACGGAGAGTAGGCGTATGGATGTAGCGTTATCTCTGAAGATAGATACTGGGGTGGAAACGCTGGAGCTCTAAAGGTTGTGTCTTCTGTGTACATTTTCGGTCTAAAAAGTACGAATTTTAGTTGTGTATTTCATAATACAAACCAAAAAGCTTAAAATTGTGTAATATACTGATTCTAATATTAATACTTTTCCTTAGATCATTTGCTCCAGACGTAGAATAGCCCTCATTAAAAGCCTCATGAAATCTCTTTCTCCACTTATCAGAAAGGTGCTGGCCTGTCTCTATTTTCTTTCTCTCTTTTGAACAATGCAATTGATTTGCTAAGATTTCATCTGAAGGCTGATCCAATCACAAAATGTTAAGCAGCTGAGTAAAATGTAAATCATAACCTCCTGCTTCCCTCACATCAGCACCAGGTATTTCTTAATTTGTAGGACTACATCAAAATGTACTGTACACAGAAAGGCAGGAAAATTCAAGGCCAATCTAACACATCCCATGCGGTCTTCTAACTGGCTGTCAGGAGATACAAACATAAGCACCATCTAGTGGAAATCATGTTTCTGAGCTGCTGCAACCCTACAGGCCACGCTTGCAACACATGAAAGCACTTTGCTTCCTTCCATTCAGTCTTATATTGCCTCCTTATCACCGTGCATTAGTTCATGGCATTCGACAATGAACTTTGATCCTGTAAGATCATAGAAAATCTATTAATTCTAATAATGAAGTATCCCTAATAAAACCTAAAACCCTCCTTGGTGACCTCTGTCTGTCCTTCAGGATCCCAGCCTACTACTACTCCAGAAAGAGCGCAGAGAATTAGCCTTGCCCAAGAACAAGATTCAGAGTCATCCCATTGCCCAGCAGGTGGCAAGATAAAGAATCTGTTCTCCAGAAGAGGTTAGCTCAATGCATAAACTGTAAATTCAATCCCTGGCCCCCCCACCCCCACGCAAAAAAGGGAAGAAACTGGCAAAGCTGGGCCTGTAATCCCAGCACTTGAAGCTGCAGCAGGAGGATCACTGTAACAATTTTTTTTTTTTTTTTTTTTGGTCTTTTTGAGACAGGGTCTCTATGCAGTTCAGGCTGACCTTGAACTCACTTTGTAGCCCAAACTGGTCTCGAACTTGCAAAGTTCTTCTTGCCTCAGCCTCCTGCGTGCTAGAATTACAGGCGTGAGCCACCCCATCCAGTTTCTGGATCCCTGTAAATTTGAGGCCAGCCTTGGCTCCAAAGTGAGTTGAAGGTCAGTCTGAAGTGCAGACTGAAACTCTGTCTCAAAAAATACAGAGAAGGAGAAAGATGAGCAAAGATGAGAGGCTGACAGCAAAACAAAGGAGAATTATTTTTTAAAAAATTCCAAGTCCAAAAAAACAAAGATGTCTCTCTGATGAAATTTAGCTTAAAAAAAGAAAAAGAAGAAAGAGCACAGAAGCAGGGAGGGTCCAGGCGCTGATTCATCCAGGATATCAAAACTGTCAAAGGACCTGACTGGGTCCGGACTCACTACAATTTAGTTTTTCACCCTGGTTGAGTCCTGCAGGTTTCTATAACCTCACTGGTCCTTATTCCTCTGGAAAGGTGCTATTTTTCCTTCCCATTCAGTGTAACTAAAGTTACCAGTAGAGAAAAATACACAAAACCAAGTAGCAAAGAGACAACCCAGAGTCTTCAGATGGCTTCTGCAGAAAATTCCCAGTGCCACAAGTTGCTCAGGTGACCATGTTTTACATCCCATGGGACGTAAACGCTAACTACAATGCTAACTACACCCAGGCCTCTCCCAGCAGGCCTCTGGTCTGTTACTCCCACAACTTTCTAGGCTCCACTGATGGGGACTGTGAAGCTCCCCACCCGAAGGGCCCCTCTCCTGTGTCTTCTGTGCCCTCCTCACCCCGCCTGTAAGACTCATTCATAGGGAAGCCTTTGCTCAAGGCTTCAAAGATCTGCACAGCATAGCACCTTCGCCACATCTAGGCCTCCATCTCCTTCCCACCTATGATTTCACTTTTCCCACTGCAGCACAAACTACTGCTGTGTTGTAGTCGGTGTTTGTGAGAACAATTCCAATCAGGTCACAGAGTTTATAATACTATTTTACAATGCTCACCCATAGTTATACACAACGAAGTGCAGGAAATCTGTCTACAACACTAAAGACCCAGAATATCCAGCTGAGGACCCAAATCCCACAGCAATGTCCTGCAAGAGTACAGATGAAGATCTACAGCCCATAACTCCCAGGAGTCCAACTGGAGGTTTAGGGCCCACAAGAAGGACTTACACCCGTCTGCTTTATGGATCTGCAGTGGGAAGGCCCAAAGGTCAGCGGTGAAAGCTACAAAGCCTGTGCCAGTGGGTGAAGGAGCTGTGCCAGTAGGCTGAAGGTTCTACAATGGAACCAAGAAGTCACGCTCAAAATAAGAACCAGGCTGCCTTGAACAGTATCACAGCCATCCTCAGCCACACCGAGGTCCCGAGCTCCTCGGGATGCTTGATGTAAGGACCAGTGCTCCCCTAAAGTGAACCACAGTCACTCTCACCAACAAAGTTCCAAGCTCCTCTGATGATAATGGCCGAACTCATACTGGGGAAGCTAGTCATGATCAGCTCCTTTAGGAGAACCAACAGATCGAACAGCAACATTTAGGAGAACCCACAACACCCCGCTCTGCCTCTCCACATCTCTGTTTATGCTAGCAACTTTCCTCAGGTGAGCCATTTACACTCAGCATCACGCTGATTTAATTCAGCTAGTGTTAAGCTGACCACCAGTTGTTAATCTGTAACACTACGATTCCCACTTCTATGTTTTGTTTCCATTTTTTTGGCTGTCCTAGGGACTGGGACTGAACCCAGGTCCTTCACATTGAGCTACATCCACAGTCCCCCTCCCAGACACAGACTTTTGCGGTTCTTTTTTTTTTTTTTTTAACTTTTTTTTTTTAAGATAAGGTCTCACTAAGTGGCTCAAATGCCCAGGAAGGAGATGAACTTGCAATCCCTCTGTCCTAGCCTCCCAGAGTGCTAGAATTACAGGTATGTGCCAAACACTGGCCAAATCCTGTTCTTATGAATGATCCCACAGCTCCTTCTAAATATTTGTAGAATATTTCAATACAGGGCTGGGGATATAGCTCAGTGGCACAAGCACCGACTGAGGTCGTGAGTTCGATCCTCAGTACCAAAAAAAAAAAAAAAAAAAAAGATTATAATACCTTTCTCAGCAAAACAGTGGTAACCATGGAAAAATATCCCCATCCCTGCTTTTGAGACAGGGTCTTGATATGTAGTTCAGCCTGGTCTAATCTTCCTGCCTCAGCCTTCTGAGAATTCCAGGTCTATGCCACTACCTCCCCCATCCTTTTTGAGCAGTCTCTTTTTTAAGTACTTTCTTCTCTATTTCCAGTACCTGAAACCTCCTGGAAACTTTCAACCCTCTCTCAAAATTCTAACTGGACTCAAGAATGATTATCGTGACCCAATTTACCACCACCAAACGTTCCTGACTTTTTGTCCAGCTTTCAGCTGTACCATGCAGGACTCAAACTGACACAATGCCAAGCTTGGTTGCTGTATACTGCTAGGCCCTGTGCTAGTTCTCTAGACCTAGCCCAATGCTGTTAACTAAAACACACGGGCGGTGCTTCCTGAAACTTCCTCAGAATACTGCAAGATGCTGAAAATGCCTACTAACAACAATAGCAGTTTTGGAGAATACCACTATTAAACTCGGGCCGAAAGAATGTTAATTCTGTTTCTCTGGAGAACTCTGACCAATGTACTCCCCCAATACCAATATTACTATATAAAAGTAGGTTTTCAACTTTTGTCCAAAACTGTATCTTTCAGTGTTTCCCATATACACTGTATACCAGATAATAATGATTTTTTTTCATGTGTTCCAGTTTCCAGTCTTGAAAATAAATTCTGGAATTTATATCTAGTATAAACTTTTCAACTGTATTACACAAACACAATCAAAATTAAAAGGAAATTACTCCAGCCATATCAAGAAAGCATGAAGCAGCTAGGATTCAGCTCAGTGGCATAACTGCCTGCCTGGCAAACGTGAGGTCATAAGTTTGATCCCTGGTACCAAAAAAAAAAAAAAAAAAAGAAGCAAGCAAGGAGCTCATATAAACATTAAAGCATACCCAAACTTTCAAAATAAATCTACTAGTAAGTTTACACTATAATGTGAAAGGTTAACAAATTCAGCTAAAAGCAGAAACGATTTTGTAAACACCCTGAGAATGAATCTTGAAAAGGAAAAAGAAAATTTAAAGCAAAAAAGAAGCCTTCTTTCAACTCAAATTTAGAATAATTTAAAACTACAATTTGAAAAAAAATCCAGCTTTGCAGGACATATATAAAGCAAAACAACTAAAAGCAAAAGCCAACAATTTCTAATGAACTGATCACACAGAAGGTGGCTATGACTGCTCACCTCCATCCCTTCTGTGAACAAGATTTTACACTGGAAACTCTTAAAAATAAGCATGTTGTCCATTTGGCCCTTCCACTGCTGTTTCCTCTTACCCATCCTTCTTATCGTTTCATTCTCCATTAGTCGTGTTCCCCCCGCCCCCCCCAGGTGCTGGGGATTAAATCAGCACTTTGCACAGGCTAGGCAAGCAGTCCACCACGAGCTACATTCCCAAATCCTAGCTATGTTATCACACTCCCTGCTCCCTATGCACCACGCCCATAAGGAGGATTGAGCCCAGGGCCTTAGTAATGAGTTACATTTCCAGCACATTCTTTATTTCAAGACAGAGTTTTATCAACTGGCTAAGTTGCCCAGGCTGGGCTCAAACTTGTTCTCCTGCTTCAGCCTCCCAAAGTGCTAGGATTATAGGCACATACCATGCCTGGTTTATAGGCTTCTAAGATCATGTTTTGAAGCTGTATGAACAAATGCGAGTTGACATTGCACTCATTAATAAATGCAATGTCATCTCCATTCTTTCCCAGCTTAATAACAGACAGTACTAAGGTAAAGAGGCAGAGAAAGAACTCCAGTTTTTGTTGGCACGGTACACTGTTAAACTGCCTAGTGGCTCAGCCCCTTCTTAGATGAAGAGCGTCCTCTCTCCATCCACAAAATGTTAATGTGGCCTTTCATGAAAGTGTAATCACCAATAAATCCAAGAAACACATCCCCCAGATAAGGTGAGGTGTTTGTAGTATACGTACTCAGTCAATGGTGATTCCTGTACAAATGGGTAGTAGGTGGCTGCACAGCTAGGGAAGACACATGCTTCTGAAGACTCTGTCCATGCCACATTGAGCCCAGCAAACTTGGGGACAAATGGTTTCACATCTGCTGATAACTTCACGCTTCCCTGAGAGGGAAAAGGTGGAGGTGTTGGCTATATACAATCTGAAATCAACCCAATGTAAACAAAACCCAGAGAGGCACTCCATTCTAACAGTCCCCAATGCTGCTACTTAAAAATGTCTGCCTAGTGAAGACAATTCACTTTGCTAAAAATTTCTTCCTAATGCTTTTTTAGTTAGAACAGTCTTTCAAACATTAGAAGTGAAAAATAATGGCAACCAATTAAAGTGGAATTAAAATTTAACCTAGCTCATGTATAAAAGGACAAGTAACATATCTGTAGTTTTAAACTTGGAAATGGGTATTTTTCCCCTGAGGTTTAACTAGGTCCACAGTAACTAAAAACCCTATCCCTACTGCAGTCAAATATACCTGGGAAACGTTTACCAGCAGCACCCAGAACACACTGCATGTATTTCCTCTATATCTCTCAAAAAGTTACAAAATGTCTGTTTTTTACTGTGTTAACTACGAAGAGCTATTTTACAGAAAGGAGAATTTCATAGTAAGAAAATCTTTTATCGCCAATAAGCCCTTCAAATTTAAAAATGTTACTAGTTCATGTGTGTATGACATACTATTTACAACCTTTGTGGGAAGGTGACACATGTACATAGCACATCTTAATTCCTTTTTCTTTCCCCTTTTGGCTACCCCTGCCTTTCCACCCATCTCTTCTTATTTTTTGGTATCGGGAATTGAACTCACGACCTTGCGCTTGCCAGACAGGCACTGTGCTGCTAAGCTACATCCCCCGGCTCCCCTTCCTTTTTATTTTGTACAATTTTGCAGTACATAATGTTTACAAGTCTTGTTTGGAATTAGTACGTATATGTAAAAATGTCTTTTGTTTAGAGTAGTAATTTACTTGTAACTACAGCTTTTAGTTAGCGTGAAGCTAATTTATTTGACTGTCGATCTCCATCTAGCTTCTAGCAATTACAAAGTGTACAGCGAAGACAGAAATTTTAAAAGCGTAAAAGCGCTTTTCAGTGCTGCTTCTTCGCTGGAAGCGCCAAGTTCACAGAATAGCCCAACTGGGCCGCCAGCAAGGAACAGGGAGGCTGTCAACAGCGTTTATGGCATCACAGTACCTACGGGGCCAGCCGTAGGCGGAGCCTGGGCACCCGGCCACCACCCCGAGGCGAGCTCGGGGCGGGACGTGGGTTCTAGGCCGCTTGAGGACACCGGTTCCTGCCTACATTAACCAACCAGTCTTGTTACCACCCGACTGAAACACCGGGACAAGTCAGGCTGACGGGCTGAGGCCGCCAAGAGGCCACACCAGCCCCCTGCGGCCCTTACCGTGCCTTCAGGCCCCCACGGTCCCCCAGACGCCATAGCAGGCAGGAAGGCCGAAGGAGCCCGCGCCCGTGAAGGCCCGCCGCTGGGCCAGCGGACCACTTGCGTTTCCGCTTTTGGAACGGGCGCCAGGAAGCCCGTCATTAAGACGCGACTACCCCGCCCCTTTTCCTAGCGCAAAGCACGTCGGATGTAGGCCTGAGCCGGGCATTGGTGCTCACTAGCAGCGGCTGCATCAGGTTGCAATGGATAGTCCCCTACTAGGGTGGGGGAACCCAGAACAGGAGTCGCCTATGATCTGTGGCACTCTGGGTTATCCGACGCAATTCTGGCTAGGGCGGCAGGGCCTTACAGACCTGCCGTGAGCAGAGGGTTCTCAGGCAGCCTGGGCCCCCGTGGGTCTCAGGAATGCGGAAGGGCTTCTTAGACAGCGTCCCCTGCAAAGCACTGTCCCTTCCCTCGTGCATTTCCTGATCCCCTCAGAGTTGTCGATACTCCAGGGGGCATTTGCACACCCGACAAGAATCCTGGAAGCACGACTTACTGGCATCTTATGCTTACTGAAACTTCCATTGGTTTGGGATTCATCACATGAAGGAACTCCAAAATTTAACATATGTTGGACACAAACAGTGTTAAGCTGGGAAATAAATTACACAAGGGCAGATGCTATCATATTGAGAAATTACTATTTCAAGAACAAAAGTTTAGAGGAAAGCCTGCAGACTGTATTTCAAATGACAGCACCTGCACTTCGGAAAGGGACTGGCTGCTTCAGAAAGCCTGTGGCTCAATGGAGGCCACCTGCCAAATGAGTAAAGACAAACTAGATTTTCTGCCTTGTGCATAGATTTGCACACCTGGTACCGAAAAAAGCACAGGGAGCTTAAGTTCTTGTTCAGGTGGGTCCGCAGGTTTATTACTACTGAATCGGTGAGGTGTAAGGATGGCTGTCAGGCTCCCTCTTCAGCTAGTACACTGTGCTCAAAAGGGTCCTGCGTTTACTGGCAACTCATTCAAAATGTCTTTCTGGCACAGCAATGAATGCTTCCATTTAACTCTAAAATACTTCCTTAACAACTAAGAAGGCAATCAAAACAGATGAAAAAATACATTACACCATTAAGTTACTTTACTGAAAACCTTCCAGTAGCTGATGTCTTTAATAGGAAACATTATCTTTACTTGGCAAACGGAGGAAAAGATAAACAGGGTTAGGTGGATGACAGGGAGTTTTTGGATTAAGTGGAGGCAACCCAAGGAGTATTAAGTTGGGTTTTCCTGTTCGCTTGGAAGATCCTACATTTGTCTAGAATTTGGACAAATGATGGCTTTAAAATTGTTTGGTGCTAGTTTTAACATATCCCTGGGTTCTCAGTATACCATGCTATTTTAATTTCCGTTCTCTTTCAGGTTTACTTTCTCAAACATAAAATTATAAAATATACCTCAGTAACTTCAAACAGGAATAAATGCAACATACAAACTTTATTTAACAGAAGTAACAGATAACACCAAACAGGCACTTATATTAATCGAAAAACTGTCTAGAAGAAATGTCTTAAACACCTTACAACAACCTACTTGTAGTTGCATTTAACTGAGCTCTGTTGCTGTGAAGAATACAGCTCATGCACAGGTATGGATGTATGATTTGTACATTTTTCAAGTATTCACTGAATACTACCTTATATACACATATACATTAAGTTTGAAAAAGATTTAACTGTTGATCCCAAATATACTTCATTTTTGTTGTTCTTTTGGAAGAGGTCGTCTAAACAGAAGAATATGCGGTTCTGTGGAAAGAAAATGTAAATAATTCAATTCAACCAGAATAAATGAATCAACTATTATTATCTGGCTTCAAGTCAATTTTGCTTCAAAGATACAATAAACAGAAAATGATCTGACAAAGAGAACATTCCTGATATTTTGGTTTTCAATGTTTTTACTCAATAGAAGGATAAAGATAGCTTTAGTTCTACTTTATGTAGTTTCAGATTTTGTTCCAAGCATTGTAAATTCTGTAAGTTAAATTTATCAATAATACAAAAATAAGAATTCCACCCCACAAAGCTACAACCTAGTTGCCTGGCGTGGTGGCTCACGCCTGTAATCCCAGCACTCGGGAGGCTGAGGACCAAGCCTGGGCTACAAAGTGAGCTCAAGGCCAGCCTGAACTGCATAGGAGACCCTGTCTCAAAAAAAGCTACAACCTAGTTTACTATTTAACGAGAAAACCTTCTGGTTAGTACTACAAGAGCATATGACACTCAAATCTAGCCAAGCTGTGTAACACAGCTGAATCCACACATTATCTCATTTAATCTTAGGTAGATGAACATCCTTTCTGGGGATTAAAGGAAAATCACTAATTGCACCAATTTCTGTAACAGCACTAACAGACATCTATATTGTCTTGAAGTACTTAGTTTTCAGAGATGGGACAATGAAATCCTTGGTATACTTTTCAGATACTTTAATATAAGAAGAAATTTTATAATACAATAGGATAGCTATTTCTTGACAAGTTATTCTTGCAGGTAGAATATATCATATTCATTTCTGTGGCATTTTATTTAAAACAGAACACTCCAGGGAGCTAAGGAATGAATCAGTCATAAAAAAATTTTTTGAATTCCTTCAAGTATCATTCATTATACACACACTTTACAACAAAATGTACCTGGTTCATGAATCATATAATGAACCCAGCCTAGACTCTGTTGGACACCAAGTCGTCTCCACTCCTCTTCGGACATCAGATGAGTTTTGGGTACTTGTTTGGACAGTTCTCTGGGTAGCATCACATGCCTGGTAAAAGGTACAGCCAAGTATTAATGCTTCATGTGTTCTTATGAGCACTTCATACATATACTAAAAATGTGAACATCAAAAGTCTAAAGCAAACACCATTGGTGCCAAACTCCAGCATTCTCTACTACCTTTTTCTGGGTTTTGAGAGGCTATACTCAAACTCAGGAATCTAGAATATGCTGTCTATCTTTACTGTTATTTTTTCTAAAAGAGAATCTTGCTTGTAAATCTCCATGAACAGAACACCAGAATCTAAACTAGATACATGGTCACACATCCCAAGCTATCCTGTGGTTAGCTTTGTTCATGTAGCCAAATCTTGACCACAGAATATAAATAGAATATGCAAGATGAAAAATATCCTCAAAAGAGAGAATAGCCAAACTTTTTCTTTTTCCTGTTCTATTCAGACATTTGATCAGGAAGTTACAGTAGCAATCTAATACCACAGAACAAACTGCATATGGAAGATGGATGGCAAAGCCAAAAATGTAAGGAATTTACCCCCAACTGTGGAGTTGTTGTCAGCCTGGCCCCAGACTAGACTTTTCCACAAAGTAAACAATGTAGTATGTAATTTCAGATGCAGATGACTTGTGTTTCCTTATCAGTGCATCCGTAGCAGGTGCAAGTCTTACATGCTCACTCTAAGCAGTTGTTTTGATACTTCCATAAAAAAATACCAATGGCAAGTGTTTTTGCAACTTCATACTCATCTTGTTTTCTAGTAAGTTACTGGCATATCCTTTTTTCAATTTAAGCACACATATAATAGCAAGGTCAAATCATGGCAATTATGTATAACTGTACATTAAACTGTGGTAGTCTGAAAAATAAAACTGCAGTCCTACCCATTACCATAAAAATTTTTTATGAAAGCCCAATTTTTGCAGTCAGCCATTAACACCAACTAACTTTTTAAACATACAATCTTACAAATATGTTGGCCAACTGGGAAAAGATAAGTGCAGTTTGGGCCATAGAATCTGTATCATTCCTGTAAATTAAATGGAGATTCTTTATATATACTAGTTACTTCCCATGGGGGTGGGGTTTCCACGTCTGACCCCAAGGAGCCCTAAGCCACACCCCTAGTTTTTTACTTTTAAACAATCAGCAAAGCTAGGCTCAAACCTCAGATCCTCCCTGCCTCAGTCTTCCAGAATGCTAGGATTGCACGTGCCACATTTGACTACCACACACTCATTCTTGAAATGCTGGATAACATATAACTTTTAAACTTCTCCATTTAAAGAGAATCTGTTATTTTTATCATTACCACTCAGTACTCTCCCCTGAATCATGTACACAGGCTCTTGGGTTTGACTGGAACAGAAAAGAAGTTAAGTAATATGAAACTCACATGGGGACTACTTTTTTCTTTTTGAACAGGGTCTCCCTATGAGTTTAGGCTAGCCCCAAGCTAACTAATCCTACTGCCTCAGCCTCCCAAATATTTTACTTACGTAAGTCTATAGTACCACAGGAAAAAAACACTGGGCCTTTTACAGAAGAGCCCATGCAGAAAAGAAAAGACCAGAAAACTAAGTTTGGAAATACAGAAGTACAGGGTATTGCTGAGAAAAAACACTATCTGAAATTTATTCTGGCCAGGTGGGATGGCTCATCACAGCACTCTGAAGGGCTGAATCAGAAGGGTCACTGGTTTGGGACCAGCCTGTGCAGTTAACTTGGTGAATTCGTTTAAGACTTTAACTCCAAAAATCAGAGATGTAGCTCTGTTCAAAAACCTGGATTCGATCCCCTGAACGGTGAAAAGCGGAGGATTTCAGTGTGCGTAGCAACACTATTTACAAGTAGTACTGAGTTTACCTTCTATTATTGGCTACCCCCCAGGAAGACTCTTAGCACCCCACAACTGAACATTGTGCCAATATATTACCCTGTTACAATTGCCTAGCTTGTAGTTGCCACATAATCTATTTAAATTTACAGCAAGAAAACTCATGCGTCTTTTTCCCTAGATAAGAATTTTTTTTTAAATGCCATTCATTTAAAAGTATTATTCATTTGTAAAATAACCCAGAGTAACTGCTTCTTTTGCACGTAGGTTTCCATGATATTGGGGCGGGGAACCCCACTCATGTTCTTTTTTCTCCACAAACAGCATTCTTGGAAATCTAACCTTAAAAAAGGAGCAGGTGAAAACAAGGTTACAATTTGGCCGAGGAAGGCGTAGGCTTGACCACCCTAACCACATCTTAGCCTTTCCCCGGACTGCAATGTCCTCCGATGTTCCGGTCCTACTGGAGAGCACACCCCTCGCAAGCCTACATACAGTAAGGCTGGCAAGCGTGGGTCACTCGCCTCCCACATCTAGTTCGCTACTTTTATTGGTAAACCACTGCTTTTTAGGGCAGCCTCCAGCATGCAGAAGCAAGGTCAATGCCCAGTGCACTGTATACCAGCGAGAAGGGGGAGCCGCCCGCGGTGCACTCCGGTCTGTAGTGTTTCCGAAATGAAGCCTTTTCACTGGGCGCCGCCCCGTTAGCACGCGCGGAGCCCCGCGAACTTTTCTGTCAGGGATCCCCACCGATCCTAAAGCAACGGGGAGGAGGGGGGTGTCCCTGTTTTCCGCAAGGCGGATCCCCAGTCTGGTTTGGTCCAGCCCCGACCCTGACCCGGAAACCGGTTCCGGTCCCGCTGGAGACCTGCGGTCGGAACCGAGCGGCCAAGTCGGGCCCGCGCACCGGCTCCCTGCCCCTGCGTGGGTGGACAAAGGGCCCCACTTTGGAGCTCCAAGTGGGCAGTCGCCCGGTCCGGGCCCTCGGCCTACAGTTCCGGGGACCGCGACCCACGGGGCGGCCTGGCCGCCCAGGCTGCTCACCGGTACTCGTAGTGCTCGTCGAAATACTTGTCCGAGTAGTAAATCTGCTTATGGGCCATCCTGCCGATGCGCAGCGGTACGGAAACGGAGCGAATGCGAAAGCGACGGCAGCTCAGCAGGACACGCGTCTCGCTCAAGCCACAGCAACGACTCAACTGAGACCAACGACTGCAGGCCCAACGTTCTCAGTTTGAATCCGACAGCCCGCCCGCGATTGGACGAAAGCGCAGACCAATCGCCTTCTGCGCCAGCCACGAGGGGGCCGGGCCAGTAACCAGCCTATAGTCGCCTCGCGTCCGTGGCGTTTGCTTCCCAGTCAGCCAATCAGTGGCCTGTTGCGAAGTTGCCTGAGATTTAGTAAAGTAGGAGGCAGGTGACCTGGCGGTCAGGGCGTGGTCAGAGAAGGGCGGAACTGGGACGTTAAGGGTCACGGAGCGCGTGCGCAGGGGTTGAGAAAATTCCAGGGTGGCGGAGCCGTTGGGTCTGCTGAACTGAGGGTGAGATAAAATATCGCGAGGTTTGGTGGGACCGGAAGCACCTCTGCAGCGGGTCGGAGTAGCTCCCCTCCCGCGGAATGGGTGTCCTGAGCGCTCTTGAGAGGAGGCTGGTGCACGGCGCGCATGGGGTTGCTGCCTATGATTAACGAGAGGCCCCCGGTGTTCGGGCGTCCGCGCATGTCTTCTAAGAAGTATTTCTACTGATGAGCTTAGTTTTCATTTTGAGTTTTGCGTTGAACAATGTGTACCTAACAGGAAAGTAAAATACCAATAAAAATATTTGTGACATGTAATGAGCGTTTAAACATTTTCAACATCAACTGTGTAACTACGAGTTTTGAAAACTAACAGCAAAACTAAATTTCTACGTGAACAGCAAAATACAAACAAATCCAGGTGTAGAGGCACATTAGAGAACCTGAGGCAGGAGAGTGGCTGTGAGTTCTGGCCAGCCTGACCTTGCACAGTTGAGTTCAAGGCCAGCCAGAATACCCAGCAAATCCCTGTCTCAAAAAACCAAAAAAAAGGGGTTGGGGATTTAGCTCAGCGGCATAAGCGCCTGTCTTGCAAGCAGGCAGTCGTGGGTTCAATCCCTGGTACTGATAAAAAGGAAAAAGACCAAAAAAAAAAAAAAAGCCAAAAAGGAAAATACAAGCAAAACTATACCACAGAAATAACCTTTGCTTTGATTATCACACCTAAGGCAACCTTCACACGTATTAGAACAGCGTATTCCATGCACAAGTCTTGCTTGCACCAACAGTGCCCTGTGCTTGGCTTTCCTCTATTTGACAGGCCATACTTTCATCTCTCTTGTGTTCCACTTTGTTTAGGAACTTCCAATAATACCGGTGCACTTAGCATAATGAAATATCAATACAATGAAATATCAAAGACATACTGAGTGTTTAAACATCGACATTTTGTTTGTTTTTTGAGACAGGTCTTGCTTTGTAGTTCAGGCTGACCTGAATCCTCTTGCCTCATTTGAAACGCTGAGATTACTGGCGAGACAACCACACCTGACCAACATTTCAACACAGTCTATTTGATTACTAAATCAACAAAATAGCCAGATGTGAAGCACGCCTATAATCCCAGCATTTGGGAGTCTGAGGCAGGAGGATTGTCCTCAGTTCAAGGCCAGCCTGGGCTGCATTCAAAACCATCCTGAACTACATAGTGAGATCCTGCTTCAAAAAATAAAGAAAAAAAGAAAGAAAGAAAAAGAAATAGGGGCCGGGTGTGGTGGCACACACCTGTTATCCCAGTACTTGGAAGACTGAAGCAGGAGGATTGCTGTAAGTTTGAGACTAGCCTGGGCGACAAAGTGAGCTCAAGGCCAGTCTAAACTGCATAGCGAGACCCTGTCTCAAAAAGACCCCCCCCAAAAAAAGAAAGAGGTACAAGTTTGTTCACAATATCATAGGGCTTATTACTGCAGGAATAAAAACCTGATAGCTGCATTCCAGAATGTTTCTAGATTCAAGGTTTCAAGGTGTAAAATGTCTTTGCATCTACCAGGGTGTATATTTTTATATCACATTCGGAAGGCTTATTTGGCATGTAACACCAAAACTGTCAACAACCATGAAATGGTGCTGGTTGTTGGTCAGTTGTCTTGTATTCAGATGGTAGTATAAATTGCTTCACAGTTCAAAACAGAGCTTTCAAAAAATGAATAGCAACCAAATTGTCAGATTTTTTTTCTTTCTTGGGGTGTCTTTTCAAACAGCACATTTCAAAGGTAACCAAATCTTTTGAGTGTTTTTATTGTTTTAAAAATCTCATCGCGTGAATCTGGGTGTGGCGATGCCCGTCTATAATCCAGCATTTGGGAGGCCCAGCAAGAGAACTGTTCTGTAGTTCAGGGCCAGCCTGAACTACACAGCAAGCACAACTGTCACTTCTCCATAAATCCTTTAATTCCAATGACTAGACTGATGTCCTGCTATGAAGGCTTTTAGTTCCATTAAGTGAGATGTCATGATAGACATCTTTTGAGTGTTACTATTGATGCATGTGCAATGTTCTACCTGTACTTAATTACTCGTATATTTCAAAACATCTTGTAAAATGTCATTCATCATAAATAATTGCCATCAGCGAATCACAAGGGTGGCATTCTGTCCATCGCTTTCACCCCTGGCAAGAACCTAACAGAACCTCGTTCTAAGGTTGGATCTTTCAAGAACACATGATCATTTTATGATCAAATATTTATTTATATTAACTGTTTTCTTCCTTGTCTGAGTCAAAGTCTTCACTCCAAACTTCTCTGTTATATCTGGCTAACTCCTTTGGCTCGCATGAGCCAAGTCATCACCTGGTAGCCCAGTGGCCTGCTAACTTACTGACCTCCACCCAAAGTTGTAAAAATGGGCTTTCATGCAATACTGTACTGAATAACTCTACGGTCTCTTTTTCTACCCAGGGGTGTGCACAATAGGCTAGGTTCCATCCTGCATCCCAGCCCATCTCTGGACCTGTTACCCACTACTACCCCATTCTGCCTCTTAGTTCTAAAGAGAAAACCTGGAAGGGAAAGGCCTTTCCAACAGAGTGACTGACATTTGTGAAGACACGGGGGGAAACTTAGGCTTTGAATGTGCAGATGAGGATGAGGATGGTGGGAACTGAATCTGGGAGGATGGGTATTGTTCTGTCTGGGGTGGCTGAGACCTGGGGGTTCCCAGGCTCACCCTGGCTGGGCTTGTAAGAAGAAGAGGAGTCAGAACAGGAGGCCAGCACAAAGTGAAGGTCATTGTATTGTAGGTTTTTGAAGAGAAAGTGGTAAAACGTACTCCAGAGCAGTGGTGAGTCAGAGCTGGGACACCCCTGGATCTGGGCCTATGGTCCTGCTTTATGGGACCTGCTTGGAGGTCAGTACTTGACTGGCTATTGGACTCACACTTAGGGGCTACGTGTGGGGGTCTATCCGAGGAACTTGGGTGGTCTCGGCACCCCACACCAAGAGGGAAGTGATGCCTGCATAGATACAGGTGTCAGCACCTGTATCTGTCTGTTTCCATGCAGAGGCTACTTCCTCCCCACCTCTTATGGGAGTTGATCTCTAATCTAACCCTACATAAGGGTCCGGACTTTCCCTATGATGGATAGATAATACCCCCTGTGATACCTACATCCTTATCTCAGAAACTGTGAATATGTTACCTGAAACAGGGAAAAGGACTTTCCAGGTATGATTAAAGATCTTGAGATGGGAAACTTATCCTGGGTTATCAAAGTGAGTCAGTGTGACCCCAAGGTCCATATGTGAGGAAATCTAGAAGGTCCAAGAAGGTGCTGTGACAAGCAAAAGGCAGGTGGCAACATATCAAGAATACCAAAGTTTGGCATGTTGGATTCATCCCAGAAATGCAGGGATGGTTCGAGACATGTAAATCAATATGTGTAATACACCACATTAACAGAGCCAAGGACAAAATCCACAGGATCATCTCAGATGCACAAAAGCTTTTGACAAAATCCAGCACCCGCGCATGATAAAAACCCTACAGAAAATTGGATAGATGGTCTCTATCTCCATCTGATAAAAGTGATCTTTAATAAAGCAATAACCAACATCATACTAAATGGACAACTGAAACCTTTTGTTCTAAAATCAGGAATAAGACAGATATGTCCACTATCACCACTCCATTCAATATAGTTCCGGAGACTTTAGCCTGAGCAATTAGACAAAAGAAGGAAATAAAAATAATAACAGTAGGAAAGGAAGAAGTTAAATTATTATTCATAGATGACATGATAATCTACACAGAAGACCCCAAAAGCTCCACCAAAAGACTTCTAGATTTAATAACCAAATTCAGTTGTGTAACTTGGATACAAAGTCAACACTCAAAAATCAGTTGCTTTCATGTACATGAATAACAAACTTACTGAGAAAGAAATTAGGGAAACAACACCTTTCAATGATATCCAAAAAAATGAAATATTTTTGAATCAATCTAATGAAGGAAATAAAAGACCTCTACATTTAAAAACTACAGAACTCTGAAAAAGAAGATTGAAGAAGCTATCAGAAAATGGAAAGATAGTCCTTGCTCTTGGGTAGGGAGAAACAATATAGTGAAAATAAACATAGTTCCACAACTGTTATACAGATTTAATGCAATTCTGATCAAAATTCCAACAGTATATCTTATAGAACTAGAGAAAAAAGTCCTAAAATTCACTTGAAACTAAAAGAAACCTAGAATAGCAAAGGCAATTCTGGGCAACAAAGGCAAGGCAGACAGCATCACAATCCTTGACTTGAAATTATAGTACAAAGCTACTATAGTAAAAACAGTGTGGTACTGGAAAAAAAGACTGACCCAAAGATCAGTAGAACACATTATAAGATGCAGAATCAACTCTAGACATACTTAGTCACTGTTATGGATTAAGAACTGGTGGTCGGCTTAACTCCAGCTGGATTACATCAGTATGGTACTGAGCATAGATATCCCACCTGAGGAAAGTTGCCAGCATAAATAGGAACTTGGAGAAGGAGAAGCTATTGCATTGAGGCATTAATGCATTATTGTGTTGAGGTGTTGAGGCATTGTGGATTCTCCTATGAGTTGCTTTTTGAGTCATTGGTCCTCCTGGAGAAGCTCTGGTCCTCACATCGAGCATTGCTTCCTGGCTCCAGAGGGGAAGACATGTGCTCCAGGATAAACTTGTCACACTGGCTTCCTGGCATGCAC